TGGAATATGCCAAAGGTAATTGGATGTCACTTCCATGATTGTGTTACATACGATTGTAATATCCATCTTGCCAGCAGATTCGCTCCTTTGCTGGTTTTGGTGAAGCAAGTTGCCATGTTGGGGAGGCCCATGTGGCAAGGAACTAAGGGTGACCTCTAGCCAACTTCCAGCAAGGAACTGAGGCCCTTGGTCCAACAGCCTAAAAAGGAATTTAATGCTGCCAAAAACCATGAAAGTGTGCTTGGAAGTGGATCCTTCCCAATCGAGCTTTTAGATGAGACCTCAGCCCTAGGCAACACTTTGCAGTCTCATGAGAGAACTCGAAAAAGATAACCAAGTTAAGCCATACTTATATTTCTGACTTGTAGAAACTATGAGATAACAAATGTATGTTGTTTTAAGCCACTAAGTTTGTGGTAATTTTTTATGCAACACCAGATAACTAATAAAGCTAGCATCTGTGGTAGGGCAGAATAATGATCCCCCAAAGATGGCCACATCCTAATCCCCGGAGCTTATGACTTTGCAGATGTGATTCAGTTAAGGATGGGGCAATTATCCTGGATTATCCAAGCGGACCCAGTGTAGTCACAAGGGTCCTTATAAGTGAAAGAGGAAGGCTGGAGAGCCAGGGAGAGATTTGAAGATGCTACATTGCTGGTCTTGAAGATGGAGGAAGGGGCCATGAACAGGAAGCCTCTAGAAGCTGGAACAGGTTCCAGAATGAACATAGCCCTGATGACACCTTGATTTTAGCCTAGTGAGGCCAATTGCAGACTTTTGACCTCCAGACTTGTAGGATAATAAGTATGTGTTGTTTTAAGCCGCTCAGTTTGCGGTAATTCATTACAGCAGCAACAGGAAGCCAATACAGTGTCTGTGTTTATTTCCTTAGCATCTAAGATGAATAGCAAGAGTCCTTCTCCAGGGGCTAGTCTGCTTCTAACAGACTGCACTGGAGCTGTGAATATCTGCTTCCCTTTCCAGAAATGAACAAATAAATATGGTGCTGTTGAGCATTGCTCAAGAGAAAATTAGCATTTTTCCCACAGTCTTGTGTGCCTATCCATTCTCCTGTCCACCCCACCCCGCACCTCATATCCTTCATTCTTGTGTTTACCTTTTTATTGTTTCTTCTTAGTGTCCTTTTTAAGCACTCACTGTCTTAGTCTAGGATTGTCTGGACACAAAGAATATGATTTATTCAAGTCAGTTTAAGTAAAGAGAAATTGGGGATAAGTGCAGCAAGTCACAGAGGGTAGACTCATAAAGCAACGGTGTTCTTCTCCCCCATTGCCCATTCATAACAGCCTTCCAAGGCCGGTTCTTCCTTAGCCCTCAGCAAAATCTCAGGCAGCCCCATAAATGTATTGAGCAGGTTCAGAAAAATTCTCTAGTCACTTGTATGCTTGTAAGTAGACAATTTGTAATCTGTGATTAAAACGTTCAATTGTCATGTAATAGTCAAAACTCCCAACTCCACAAAACTTCTCCCTTGCCCCATTGCTGGCCTGAGAAGCCTGCAGTGGGTTAAGGGGCATTCCCTGACATTCTTCTCTAGCTTTGGCTCCTTCCACATTGAAATGGGACCAGGACAGTGAGGTAAAAGGCAGGAAAGTTCTCACTTGATTGGCACCAATGTAAATCCGGCGTGGAAGATATGAAGGTTGACTCTTTCCCTTGTGGGCACCTTTGTGGATTCCTGGAAGATTTCTCTGTTGGGTTGCTCCAACTGCAGCTCCCTTGAGTCAGACAGAACCCCATGGCTGGCTGTGTCCAACGCTTCTGAGCTTCTACATCTTTCTACTAAGGCCCTCTCGCCCCTGGAAGAAGCTCAGTTGAGCAAGATGCCTGCATTAAATGACCCCAGGCCACCATTTGTATTGCATCTTCTATATATCGTCCGCGGGAATTGCACGCTGTGAGCCTGTGTCAGTGGAAGGACAGTCACTTTGTAAATATAGCCTCTGCTCTTTGGGCATGTGCCACTCCACCAGCCTCTCCCTGTTGCCTTTGTTTTTTTTTTTTAATTAAGTCATGAGTCAGGCCCTGAGTTGAATGAGGGGTTTTCAGCACCTCCTTTGAAAGTCCCGCAGCACCCTGCTTTGGCATGTAAGGGTGATTGGCAGCTGTTGGCATGAGGCCTCAGCTGAATCTGCCTCAATCATCTAGCATCCTTTAACAGATGAACACGTATGCCTCCGATCTTTTTTTCCTCCTAGGACTGAGTTAGGAATCCTAAGGGACTCAAAGCACTATGGTGTTAATTCTTCTTGTCTGGCAGGTGATAATTAAGTACTTACAGATGAAAGAAAACAGAAATAAAAGCCCATTCCCAGAACTGATGACAGATATCATGAGATTTTTTTGCATAAATTATTTTATTTCTAACAGAATGGTGAACAACTAGCCCTCACGAATGGTGGGAACCAGGACTACTCAGGGGGCCTCTGGCATCTGTAACTTTTACTCTTAGCCGTGAATGTGATTCGGCTTCCAACTCTCACCATCTGTGTCTTTTAGTTCTGATTCTGGAGAGAGGAAATCTGATTGGTTCACTCCAACATTCAGGTCCTATCAGCTGTGCCCAGACGATGAGGTCCGGGGTGCACTGCCTACAAAGGAGGGCTCTGGGAGCACATTTGGGCAGAACAGGCCAGGCAGGACAAACAGGCTCACTCCCAGGGCTGCCACACTCACAAATTCTTCAGTCAACGGGGCCATATCCCGTTTCTCATCTGCTGAATGTTTCTTGTTTCCTATAAACTAGGGGCACTTGAGTGCGAGCTAAGAAGCAGCCCTTTCCTTCTGTTTGTGTTGCTTTCTTTGTATTTGTTCCTCTTATGAAGAGACCTGCATGGGAAACAGTGGGAGCCTAGGGGTTACGTTAAATCCACCAGGAGAGGGGTGGTTTGGTGCAGAGGGACGGGCCCCCAGAGATGGGAGGCTGGTTCTCCATTGTGTTGGTGAGCAAATTAGGGATTACTTTAGAAGTCTCCAAGAGCCATCTCCCCTTACATAGTTTATGAGTTTGCTGACATATGACTACCCCAAATTTCTTCATCCTCCTTCAAATTGTTTTTATATCACAGGTGCAGTGAGTTGAATTAATCAAATTCATAAATTTATGGTATAAATGATAATCATCAGAGACTCATGCAAGGCTCCTCTCTGACTTTATTTATTTATCCTCACACTCCCATCTCCTCCAAGAGAAACCCCTTCTAATATGTTTAGTGTGTATCCTGTCATGCATTCTTCCAAATGTGTGTTGCGGTTTTGTGCACATGTATTTTGAGCTTTTGTAAATGGTATCATGTTATATATCTCATCCTGTTTCTTACACTATGTTTTTAAGGTTCATCCAAGTAGTTAGTATGCACATCTAAACCTCTGCTTCTTCCTGCTGCATCATTCCATGATGCGTGTCCACACATTCACTTATCTACTCTCCTAGAGATGGACGCCCAACTTGCCTCCAATGCTTCACCTCCACACATTCCACTGTAGGGAACATCCTCATCCACGTTCCCTTAAAGGCTAGTGGCAGAATTTCTTTGTGATATAAACCACAATGGCTGGGTCATAGTGCTTGTGACACTGAAGTTTGTCTAGTGATACCAGAACTGCTCCACGTGTCTACACGCCCACCAGCAATGCACGATCCTTCATCTTACCCACTGAATTCTCGTTAGATTACACTGTTTCTCTGTGACTCCATCTAATGAGAATATTGGCTGTCTACTCCCGTTATTGGGGCCCTCTGCCAACCCTTGGCAACTGGGAACTTGTGGCAGCAGACAGGCCACTGTCAACAGTGTGCTGCCCTCCCCACCACCACCATCATTCTAAATGTTCTGATTCTTCCTTAAGTTCCTTGAGTTCTGGTCCTCCCTTCCCTCCTCCCTAGATTTCTCTCCTCCGCCTCCCCACTCCCTCCCTCAGGGCCCACACCCACCACTTGCTGTAGCAAGTCCGTAGAACATGGTCCAGCCCAGCCAGACATGAGTGATCCAAGCCACAGAGCAGCTAGTGCTAGAAATGCGATTTGCAGTGGCTTCTCCAAAGGAACAGCCCTGCAACAGATCCCCTTTGCTTTATTCATTCGGACAATAAATCACAAAAACAGGTAACTAGTTACCACCTAAAGTAGAAAAGGTCAGTTCCTCCTCCACAAAGTGGCAACTGACCTTTCTCCTAGTCATGATGAAAAAGGAACAAAGGAAGGAAGGAAGAAAAACTATTACAACCCATAATATGATTTTTCCCCCAGGGGTGGAGTTATTTGAAAGGTTTGGGTTACGTGGAGGAAATTAAATAAACTGTTCTATCACATTTTTCCGCTTTTAGTTACAAAGTGTTCCCTATTGTGAACAATATTACAATGAGTGCCTGTCTGAAATATTTATTGGCCCAAGGTCCTAGGCATTGTTACTACAGACTTAGTAAGCCACACAGTATGGGAAATGATGTCTGCTGGGATGCTGTTTTTACATAAGAAACCTACAGTGACATTTTTCTTTCATGAGGCTGACCCTGGGAAGATAATGGTGTCCAATGAATTGATAGAATTTTTTCAAATGTATTGCCCTTACAGAAAATCACACAGAAATTTTTAAGCCGCTGAAGGAAAATCATAAGGGGAGAATGAATTTTGAGAGCAGCAAAAAAGTGTAAAGAGAGTGAGTTGATGCTTCTAAAACCAATCTTCCGTCGACAGGTTTTATTGTAGGGCCCCGCTGTTCGGCATCGCAGATAATATCGCCCGGCATAAACCGCATAGGAAGCTTTCCATCAGGCTTTGTTACGCTGGGCAAACACTTGATTCTATTTTTCTCTGTGGTCTGAAAGCCCACGTCTGAGCTTTTTTGATTCTCTGCCCTGGAAGCCCAGGCAACATCCGCCAATGCATCACACATTTCGTTTCAAAAGAACACTGTCACTGTTAAGAGTCCGGGCTCTGTGCATTTCATAAATGTGTTTGTTTTTCTCTCTTACAGAAGCTGCAAAGAATCGATACTCCTCACTGTCATCCAGCCTTACCCTGTAAGTGTCCTGCGAGGAAACATGCCACTGTATGACCTCAGGTTTCTAGTCTCCTCCCACTGCAGTAAAACCGGGATGATGAATACAGCAGAGAAAAAATAGCATGCATTCACAATACAAGTTCAAAAATCTTGATTATTTGTATTTTGTTCTCCATGATAGCAAACCCGTTCATTGGAGAGAAAAGAAAGTTAACTATCTTGAAAATCACCTATTCAGTCCTATGTAACTCTCACATCTGGAAATGACGCAAAACTCAAGACTTTCTTGTAGTTTCCAGTTTAAGAATCACAAGTGTAATGAGAGTATTTAGTTGTAGGAGGTTGAAGCATGATTGTTTTTCTTATCCCCATCTAAACAGTTTGGTAGACAACTGGATATTTCAGCGAGACCTGCTTTAAAGGCGGGTATTAGAGGAAATACGGTTGTCAAAATTTGATTCCACAGCCTTGGTCAGAAGGGTGGAGAGTGATTAAAATTGTACTGCCTTCAGTTTCTATGCTTTTTACAAATTATTATTATTATTTTTTTTCTTTTTCTCCCCAAAGTCCCCTGGTACATAGTTGTATATTTTTAGTTGTGGGTCCTTCTAGTTGTGGCATGTGGGATGCCGCCTCAGCATGGCTTGATGAGCAGTGCCATGTCCGTACCCAGGAAACCCTGGGCCACTGAAGTGGAGTGTGCGAACTTAACCACTCGGCCACAGGGCTGGCCCCTCTACGCTTTTTTTTTAAACAACTTTATCATGGTGTAATTTGCATATTATAAAATTCACCCTTTTGTGTGTGTGTGTGTGAGGAAGATTGGCCCTGAGCTAACATCTATTGCCAATCCTCCTCTTTTTGCTTGAGGAAGATTGTCCCTGAGCTAACATCTGTGCCAATCTTCCTCTATTTTATGTGGGATGCCGCCACAGTGTGGCTTGACTAGAGGTGCTAGGTCTGCGCCTGGGATCCGACCCTGCGAACCTGAGGCTGCTGAAGTGGAGCACACGAACTTAACCACTATGCCACTGGGCCAGCCCCATTTTAAAATTCACCCATTTTAAGTGTACAATTCAATGATCTTTATAAAATTTACTGAGATACGCAGCCATCACCGCAGTCCAGTTCGACAACACTTCCATCACCCCAATCAGATCCCTTGTTCCTATTTCCGATGAATCCTCCCTTGCCACCTCAATCCTGGGCAACCACTAATTTACTTTCTATTTCTGCAGATTTGCCGTTCCTTGTGAATTTCATACATTGTCAGTTGACCTAAAAATTACCAAGGCAAATCCCTTCAGATCTTTCCCAAAATGTTTACTGTCAGTATCCTGTGTGGCTTTTGTATGGAGTGGCAGGGATTCCAACCTGCTTACACTTCTGTTTTCTTCCCCATAGCGTTGGAGTGTTTCTGTATCAGTTAAAAGGCTCTGGTATCGGCCAATCTGCATCTTCTGACCAAACTCTTCATCTGCCCCATCCCAGAATTTTCCTCCTAAGCGCTATGGGGTAGGCATTCACTAGGCAGGAAAAAAAATACGTATTCAAGATCCTGATAAGATGACAAATGGAATTATTCAAGACAACAAATTATGCCATGCAGGACATAGCTATGTATATTAGAAGCTCAATTTAATATTGACTGTTACTTTTAGTCCCACCTCTTTGACACAAATACACACACACACACGTTTGGATTTGAAAACTAAGGAGACAGCAGGATGTAAGAGAACCAAGATCTGAGACCTAGTTCCCAACAGAATAATGGGTGACTCCCACACCTGCTCAGAACCCTGGTTTCCTCATCTGTATGAGTAGAAGATCAGATCACATGCCATCCAAGGGCCTCCCTGCCCCACCATCTCCTGATTCCATGATTCCTTCCATATAAAGTACAACTGGTCTGTTTTTAGATTGTTTCAGTTAAGCAAATTGTCACTCACACTTACTTCAAATCTATCTACACTTCTTCATTTCTTTGCAGTGGACAAATACATTTTGGTAAAGCCAGTATAAATGTCTATAATAAGCAAGTGATTGACTTACTATAAATTCCTGGTGGAACTTCAAGTTTACATTGCCTTCCTGAATTCTTTCTCCCCACTTTATAACCTATTAGCAATGCGAGATCAGAACCATTTTACTCCAAACCAGGTTTTCTTGCAATGTGCAGTAGTGTTTTACCCGATGCAGTAAACAGAGAAAGAGAGAGGAGTTTTACATTTAAGTTAAGGATTGTATGTTGTGGCTTTGCTTGCTGTTTTTGCCGTTTGAATCTGTGTGACTTGTTATTCATATGAATACTCGTTATTATTGGTGAATCATGGAACTTCCTTTTAATAGGTAATCTGGAATTTTCTAGGAATTCACGTGGCTCTTGCTGTTGTGCTATATTGAAGGTTAACATTTAGCCACAACATTTAGGAGCAATGTTGCATGTTCTTATGGCCAACAGCTGCACCTCTGCTCCTCAGACTTACTCTCCCCCGGCCAGTCATTGTAGATGAATTCTCATCTTTGACTTGCCTTTGACCAGCCCTCCTTCCTCAAATGCCCACCACATACTCCACTACCACCTTCTCGGCCCAGCCAAATCCTTCTCATCTTTCAAGTCTCAGCGCAAAGTCTCAATGCTACCTCAGAGTTTCTCAACAGTGGCACTCTTGACATTTGGGCTGGACAATTCTCTGTGTGTGGTGCCATCCTGTGCACTGTAGGATGTTGAACAGCATCCCTGGCCTCTACCCACTAGATGCCAGGAGCATCTCCCCAAGTGGTGACAATGAAAAATGTCTCCAGACACTGCCAGTTGTTCCCTGGGGAGAAAAATCATCCCTACTTGGGAACCACTGTCCCACCTAGGGTCTTCCCTTACTGATCTAACTCAAAGTGGCTTTTTCCTCCTCTGAATTGTAGGAGTTGAAATAAAGGAGTTGAAACCCCAAAGTTACTTGAATAGATACATTAACTGTAGAGAGGAGAGCAGATGGGAGAAGAGACTGCAAAGTTTTACTTATATTTTTGTTTGGATGTTCCTACAAGCAAATTGCTTTAAAAAAATTATTGGGCTTCATTTATTTGCTAGACATTCTCTTGGCTACCAGGATTGACATATAGAAAAAGATGACCCACCAGACCAAAAGAAAGTCCCTAAATTCTACTTTATTACAGACAATAAAAATTAGCATTTTAATTTCTTAGCAACTTACTGGCCAGCATTTTTTATGTTGCAGTTCTCCTGGATAATAAGATCCAGTCGAGACAGAGAGCCAGTGCGTACCCCTTGCCACACTCCACATGTGCCCAGGACACCCCAACATGACCCAGCCACAGAAATCAACCTCCAGTGAGGCCCAGGGCAAGGGGGCCTGGGAGAAGAGTCTTAGGTCAGGATCCCTGAAATGCTTTGATAAGAAGTGATTCATGGGACCCACCCGGTGGCGCAGCGGTTAAGTGCGCACATTGTGCTTCGGGGGCCCGGGGTTCGCAGATTCAGATCCCGGGTGCGGACATGGCACCACTTGGCAAGCCATGCTGTGGCAGGTGTGCCACAGACAAAGTAGAGGAAGATGGGCACAGATGTTAGCTCAGGGCTAATCTTCCTCAAAAAAAGTGATTCTTAACAGGTTCTTGCCTTATTTTGTAAATATTATGCAGGGCTCTCTCTCCACCATTTTTACTGCATTTCTCAGAGAAAAGTTGTGGAAATACAGAAGTAGAAAAATGTGTGTCGGCAAACCTTTTCCTCAGAGACAACCAGTTTAAACATTTTGGCCCATTTCCTTCCAGTCTTCTGTTCCATGCCTCATCAGTAGTTGAGATCATATTGTATGTACAATTTTATTCTGCTTTTTTCACTTAGTATATCAAGCATTTTTCCATGTCATCAAGAATTCTGTATAAGCATCATATACATGGCTGTAAAACGTTGCATTGAACCAAGATGTACTTAACCAACCCCCTGTTGCATTTAGATTCTCTTAGAATCTTCATACTATCTTTAATGTTTTTCTATTATAAATAATTCTGCAAGGAACATCTTTGTGTATAAATCTTTATCCATATTTAGTAGTATCTCCTCAGGATGGAATTTGAGAAGAGAAATTTCAGGGTCACCTGTGGATTTTATTTGTTTTGTTCTGACATACCATTTTCTTTCCTTGTACTGTTACCATTTTTTATTACATATCTTTCTTGGCCAGCTCCTTCCTTCTTTCCTTTGACTCTGCCTTCTACAGTTCCCAAGTCTAGAACTTCCAGAACTTTCCCAGTTCACTCTTTCCTGAGACAGAGAGTATTTAGAGAGTCTCTATAACCTCCCCTCACACAACGCCAGCTCACTGAGACTTGGGCTGAGTCAGTCTCAGTTCTGGTGCCCCTGAAATACCCTTACTCATGTTCCCTCAGGTTTCTTCTAGACCGAAGGGCAAAGGGACCTGCTGGCCTGCCTCTCACTTGCTGCCTGCCTTCCACTGTGTTCCGCACACCTGAGGGAGGCTACACACCTCCTCTTGGAAGCCCCAGTGTAGCAGATGCTATCAGCACCTGGACCGTATCCCCTTGGCATGTGTCGTGCGGAGCATGCCAGCCCAATTTCCAACTGACAGCACCAGTGATTCTTTGCTTGTGGGCTTTTTATGGCCACAAGAGCAGGCCAGAAGTGCTGAGGAACTATCACTCCTGGAAGAACAGCCCCTCCATCACTGACTGATGGGAGCTGGTGGATAAATACCCCAGCTCTTCCTCTCCTCAGACAGTGTAACTCTGAGGCGTGTGGTCTGCCTTGTTTCTCAGATGTTCCTAGCAGAGTTAAGTTCCAGTTGCTTACAGTAGTGCCTGACTTAACAAGGAACGTTTCATCGGCTTACTCCCTCTCCCTCCTTCCGTTCCCCTGCTCACCTATCCGTGCTTCCTGGGAGCCCCTCCCAAATCAGCTACTTGCTTGTGAATCCTTGTCTTCGGGTCTGCTTTGGGGGGACTCCAAGCTAAGTCACCCAGTGATAGCTGTGGGCTAGTTCGTCCTCACCAAGTGTTTACTCGCTGCCTACTCTCTAAGTAGTCCTCTGGAGCTACAGGGATTGTAAGTTCAAGACTTTTCTCTTCTGTTTCAGAAATTAATCTAATTATGTAACTGTTTTCAAACTATGTTCTAGTGACTTCTAAGAGAATCTAAAAGCATCAGGAGCATGCCATATGTCTATCGTGGCCACCTTACCAACAGTAAATTTGAAAAGAGGTGCAAGGGTTGATTGGAGGCCTTCTAATCTTAAAATTAATCCACAGCAGGAGAATCTGATTATTCTAAATGGTAATTACTTCTCATTTCCACCACAGGATATGGAGTGCTTGTGATCAGCACCTGCAGGTCTGCAGGTTGCTAAGAATTAATTCATCACGTTTTTGAGTTGTATATTTGTTGAGCCACAAAGAAAGATCTAAGTTAAAACTGCAGTCCTGGCTCGTTGACCTACTCCATGTACCACAAGTAATTCCAGCCAGTGGAAGAAACCATTCCTTTGTTGATTCTAATTCAGTAACCTTCAGACTTGAAGAGCTTATGTTTTTATTAACAAAACATTATTTTTAAAATGCATGTTGATTATATGAAATATCCACAAATCCAGAACAAGAAAAATGCACTTGTATGGAGTCTTAGTTAGACTTTTATCCCCAGTCTGTTGACTTCAAAATATGTGTAAAATAATATTTACTTAACTATCTTGGCTATCTGGTTTTCTTCCGGGTTTTCCTGGATTAGCAGGTTTGTCATTAGGACGTAGTAAATAAATATGGGAATGAGGCTGTAAGAGGCGGGCATGCCGTAGCTACAGAGAGAAGAGAGAAGCATCCTCAGCTTGACGAGTTCTGCTCTATGGGGCCACTGACTTTAGGGGCAAATAACCCTATATGCTTCATGGGAACATCACTGCGTTCTAAGATTATGCATCAAATGATAAGCATAAAAGACTAAGGTCTGTTAAATAGACTTTTTTATTGAGGCAAGGGATTATGTAGAACATTTTAGAAAAATATGGTAAAATATTACATTGAAAAATTCAGATGCATAGAGGCATCAACCTCAGTATCTGGTAATTGAACACGTGTGAAATACTTCATTCGCAAACAATGCTGGAGAAGTGGGGTGTTGCTGCATTCAAACATCTCGTCTAATTAGCAGTGTCTGTTCTGGGGAGCTTTATTACAGCCACTTCACTTGTGCTAAACTCATTGTGCCCATGTAAATATCACCTGCTTAAAATCATTAAAGGAGAATAATGTTTTCCTTTCAGCTAAAAAATGACATATCAAAAGCAAATGAACTCTACTGGATGATTTGTTCGTTAATTATTACTAGACTTGGCCTATAATTACCAAGATGCCAATGAGAACACTGCTGTCACACCACTTCAGCTCTGCAGTAGGACTTTTAAAAGTCATGTTGAGCGTGTTCAAAGCTGTTCTTTTTTGAGGAGCAGCCATTCAGAGTTTTTTTGGTGTTTGTGTTTTTTTAAGAGGACAGTCATTCTCCTAAAACATCTTGCATAAATGGAGGAATTGAAGCTCTAGAGGTCAAATCATCCATCTGTCCAGTCCTCTAAGACACTGCTTAGAGCAAAGGGTAGGATGGGTGTGGAGAGGAACTTTAGAAATAACAGGAGAGGGCTGGCCCAGTGACGTGGTGGTGAAGTTTGCACGCTCTGCTTTGGCAGCCCAGGGTTCACCAATTCAGGTCCTGGGCATGGACCTACACACTGCTCATCAAGCCATGCTGTGGTGGAACCCCCCGTACATAGTTGTAGATTCTAGTTGTGAGTGCTCTGGTTGTGGCATGTGGGACGCCACCTCAGCGTGGCCTGATGAGCAGTGCCATGTCGGTTCCCAGGATCCGAACCGGTGAAACCTCGGGTCACTGAAGCAGAGTGTGCAAACTTAACCACTCGGCTATGGGGCCGGCCCCTCGCGGTCATTTTAGATCTATCAGTGGCTCTCCTCTACCTCATTAAAAATAGATCACTAATGGTCCACTTGTCATAAACCCAACATTACATCTGGCCACCACCTTGCCTTCCACATTATTCTCAAAGTTCTATATTAAAAGCAGGGTTTGTGTACTTTCGCAGCCATCTTTTAAAAAGATCCTTGGAAATGTGCTCAATAAGAACATGGAACATGCTGTTTGCAGTTCTTTTCTGGTGACTAAATCAAACTTATTACTTTATGAGCATGACAGGGTTTCCAGTGCATCCATAATTTGTATTTCATCCTTGGATTGGGCATGCACTGAACAGTTGACTTTTTAGCAAAAATATTGTATATCTGGGAGGATAAAGATAGAAAACAACTGTTATAAGGTTTGTATAATGTCACCAATAATCAGATAAAATGTTTTCTTTTTTTTAGTCTCCCAAATCAGCATTTATTAGTGCTGCAAAAAAGGCCAGATTAAAGTCCAATCCAGTCAAAGTGCGATTCTCCGAGGAGGTCATCATCAATGGCCAAGTGTCGGTGAGTTGCCAGTCACCTGCTTGTGATTCAGAGATAGTCATTGAGGTAGGGGCTTTGCATTAAGCGAAGCCAGTAGTTCCACTGGAATGAGCAATTTAGAACTGGTTGTTGGATTTCACAACAGTGTCAAGTCTCAGGATTGTAACGTCTTTGAGAGATCACCAGGCTGTGCCTGATGTGTTCCCTCTAACATGGCCAGAATATGTAGGAGTCTAGTATTTCGTTGAACGCTTCCAGTGTTGGGAGACCTCACTACCTTTGCAAAGGAGTTCGTTTGATTTGAACTCACTGACATTGCCTCGTATTGAGTAATATAGGCCTCTTTGAAACGTCCACCTATTTCTTCCCATTCTGCCCACTAAGCATTCTTCCATGTGATAGCCCTGTATATATTTTGAGAAAAGTTTCCCTTAGTTTTTCCTTATCCAAAATGAAACATCTCTATTCTTTCAACTAATCAAAATGGAAAGAAGTTAAAATACTGGAAAAGTTTTAATATGCAACCAGAGTGAAGAAATGCTGCCCAGCTCTCCATCACTAGGTCTTGGTGGAATTCATGATTGCTCAGGCACGTGGTTGATCTTCACAACGAATAATGCACACATCAATAGGATGCTTTATTTTCACTTTTTCCTTAAAAAAAAATATACAGCACAGTGTTTTTGGTGTTTAGATTGCTGTCATCTAGAGCACTCGTATTTTTTGGACCTTTGAAATGCCAGCTTTTGTTGTTGAGGTTTTGTTGTTGCTGTTGGTGTTGTTTAAATAAACTCAAAGGATAAAATCTCCTTCATGACAAGCTCGTTATGGGTGACAAACTCCTCCCTGAGGGTGGTCCTGGATCAGATTTGAAGATGTAGGCCTGCATATCCTGGGCGAAGAACTCACGGTCTCAGCGTCTTGTAGCCCAAACTTGCTGATCTGTGTTTGCCCCACTTGGAGTCCAGGGGGTTAGCTGGCCAATCTGCCTAACAATTGTGATGCTTGTGGGAGGGGACCTAATGCTGTCACTGTGCTGCCCTGTGAGCATTTTAGCTGTGGCCTTATCCTCCCACTTACCATCTTCCACCGCATCCCCTCTGCCCGTTTCACACCACAGTCTGTTCTGCTCACCTCAATGGATCCCCCACCACTCTGGATGCAGAGTTACCGTACATCACCATTTCACAAGACTGTCCCTGTTTAAGGCTGGAAGGTTCCAGTCACAGAGGAATCACTGTATCACAGACGGTCATCTGAAACTTACCTCATCTTTTCTCAAGCTCTGAGCATGAGATTGGGCAATCAGGCAGTTTATGCATCTTTAGAGGGGCTATGATTCTAGAAGCTGCTGTGGCAGTTTCACTTTGTCCCTGGCTATAACAGGGCTCGGTTGAGGCAGCTGGTGTGTGAGAGCAGCCCTAGGGGTCGATCATCTCCTGCAGCCTCCTCCGCCTCACCACAGGCCTGGGAATGGCAGGGACATTCAGTCACGTGTCTGCTCCTCAGCCTGTGTGACCATCTTCATTTCCAGTCTACTCTTGCTCTTCTGAGTCATTGTGTGTCATTTCCTCTAGACTTGGAGCCAAACTTACTCAGTGAATTGGGTAGCAGGAAAGTCACATGTGAGGTCCACAGAAATAGAAAGGAGGGGGAGGCAATTCAGAGAAAGAAATAGGAAGTGAAAGGCATGGAGCCTGTTGTGGAAATCCTTAGGGATTGAATTCTCATGGACTAACTGTAGGACATCAGCAAATCTCTGGACAGCTCGTCTTCAGTTTCCTCATCTGTAAAACAAGGAACATATGCTTTCATGATTGCTGAGTTCCCCCCAACTCCGGTGACTTCATGACCAACTACATGTGAGTAACGCAGTTCACTCCAAGAATTCACGGGACTCATCCAACATGCCTTCTTTCTCCCCATTCCATCTCTCCCTACTTCCAGTTAAAGAGAAAATTCAAAGGAAAACGTTTCTATTGTTTACTTTTGGTTGTGTTTCAAGCATCTCTTTTTGAGTTATTGCTAGATTATGATCTGTTTGTTATAGACATAGTGTTTTACTCTTTTAACACACTAACCCATTCCTTGTATGTCCCCTTTGAGTTTGAGGAACATTCCTAAATGGGTTAAAAATCATTTCACAAAATAACTTTACACTTGAAGCTTGTTAATGCTTGTGACTCACTGCCATGACCTCTGCCAGGGGCCAACAGGCATCACATCAAACATCATCATTGCTGGTCCTCGTTCTGCTCAAGACATGCTGTTCTGCTAAAGTCTGGGCTTGCAGTCCCCAACATTGTAGCTTAATTACAAAGGAATTATTTCTGTAATTGTGTTTTCCAATGGGAAACCTTGATTTAAAAAAAAAAAAAAAAAACCTCATCTGATTGATTTTCTGATGGGAAAAGATCTTTTATTTGAATCAACCGAGTTTTTTGTAGCTAGAAAAGAATTTTGCTCTGAACAACTGAACTCAGGTATCACCAAAGGGACACCTTGGTTGACCTTATAGAGTTCGATTGTTTTTTACATTGTGATCAGAATAAATTGTACATGTGCCGCTGCTGTTGCTGCGAAAAGCAGAATTGTAATTCGACTGACTTACACCCCCCCTTCTTTTTTTTTTGCTAAACAGGAAACTGTTAAGGATAATTCACTTCTTTTTATGCCAAATGTTTTGAAAGTCTATCTGGAAAATGGGCAGACCAAATCATTTCGCTTTGACTGCAGCACCTCCATAAAGGTAAGAGGACCCACCTAAGCCCTGTAGCTGGACACGGCAGGTTTGGCGTGAAAGTCGCACTGCGAGTCTTGTGTGGCAGCGCCTTCTGTCAGAACTATCCGTTTATTTCTAAGACTTTGCTGGTTGCGTCAAAAGGTATTGTGTGAATACTTAAAAACAAGCCAAAACACAAAGCTTAGACTAAGAAGGTTCTGCTCTGTGTATGTGTGTGTGTGTTGCAAAACAGTGTAATATGCTCTCCACGCAGAACCACTAGGGCTAGTCATTTCAATGCAACCGCAGATTAATTAAAATAGCGTGACTGTCACCAAGAAGGCCTGGCGCCCTGCCCAAAGCCAGCATGATTCCTCAGCAATGTCAGCCGCCAAGAAGATTAAGATGTTAACTGTTAATTGAACACTGCTACTTTGGTGTCCAGCAGAAACAAGGGGTAGAATAATGTAAAGCTAACATTTACTTTTAATTGCTCTAACCAATTTCATGGAAATGCTGCATGAAAAGGCAGAAACGAGGCCGACTTCTTAGGAGAAGGGGTGGAAGGGAAGAGTCATAGAGCAGTCCTGTGATTTCAGAGGCACACGTGAGTTCTACACAATGGGTATTATAACAAAGCATATGGGCTCTTTCCCCCATGCTTCCTTCCTGGGGGAAAAAAGGGCATATTCTCTTTTTTATTGGACAAAAATGTGCTCAGAAATTGATTGCTCCCTAATGTTCCATCAGCCTAAAATAGGCTTTCTTCAAATGGCACAGTAAAAAAGACTTTATTGAGGTAAAAAAAAAAAGGTACCTAGTGATGATCTGTACAATAACGTATCAAGAGACTATCAACTCTGTGTTAAAAATGTCCATCAATAGTCAACCCCTAATTCTTGGTTTTTAAAAATTAATCAGCACAGACCTTATGAGTGGAAGTATTTCTGCAAAGGCCCACTCACTGTGCATTCTTATTGCCATGATACCAGCAAGCAGCTTGTTTTGAATTGCCTTAAATAGGTAATAATTTAGCAGGTAATAGAGCAGACAATATTAGTAGATTGATGATGGAGCATTTAAATCATTCTTAAATCATTCCAGATGAGATATTAACTTCCTTCATACAAGACTGCTAATTCTAAATGGTGGTGACTGAAAAAGTCCTTTTCCTTTTTTCCTACTCAAAACCAATTTATGGTGAGATATTACTCTAATTATTGATCAGCTAACCTAGGGGTCAGCAAACTTTTTCTGGAAAGGGCTTGAGAGTAACTATTTTAGGCTTTGTAGGCCATTTGATCGCTGTGGCAACTACTCAACTCTGTTGTTGTATCATGAAAGCAGCCATACAGGTGGGCTCGGGAGGTCCTTAAGACCACCCGCAGGGTCAGTAATTCACCTGAAGGACTCACAGAACTCAGCAAGTTGTTACACTCACAGTCACGGTTTATTACAGCGAAAGGATACAAATTAAAATCAACAACAGGAAAAGGCGCATAGGGCAGCAGAGACCAGGCATGGAGCTTCCCCTTGGCCTCTCCCAGTGGAGCCGTGCAGACAGGGCTTATTTCTCCCAGCAATGATGTGTGACAATGTGCATGGAGTATTGCCAACCAGGGAAGCTCCCCCAAGCCTTGGTATTCAGAGCTGTTACTGGAGGTTGGCCACATAGACGCAGCTGACCACCTGCATGGCTGCCCTTAGTATCCTGCCCCTCCAGAAGCCAAGCTGATACCACATAGCCTAACAGCCCACCACAAACAGCATTGTTAGCATAGACGATGAGGTGTGGCCCAAGGCCCCCAGGTAAACAAAGACACTCCTCCTCTCAGGCAGGACATCCCAAGGGCCTAGCAGTGACCTCCCAGGAGCCGGGAGCAAAGAGGCAAACCTTTCTGTAGGCGAGACTAATCTGTTACTACACAGACAATCTGTCAATGAATGGGCGTGGCCGGATTTGACCCCTGGGCCAGGCAGCAGTTTGAAGACCCCTGACCTAACCCAGAGGGCTACATTATTCCAACTCCGTCTGATACGGGGGCTTGTTCTGTGATACCAGCTGGCCAGAAAAACTCCTTGTTATCGGACTCCCTACCTCACCTGAAGATATAGGTAAAGACTTAAATGCATTTCTTAACAGAAATAAATCTAAATTTAAGAGAGCCCTGTAGTTAACTCTCTCTGGCCTCCTGATTCTAGGAACCCACCGTAGACTGTTTGATCTCCCTGAAGATGGCAGGTGGCAATGGGAAAACAGGGAGCAATGCAGAGTTCATATCCAATTTCAATCATCTTACCTCTTACCTAAGAGCCTTATTATCACAACAGACCCAGGCTGCTAGGCAGACAATAGAAATAGTATAGTTATGAAAGAGATATGACACTGTTTAATAAAAATCGCCCAAATTCTCGCTACAGGGTCGCAGTAGGGAAAAACTATTGTTATCGATTTTCTAGTGTCCTCCCGGGTGAATCAGGAGAATGTTTTATAAAGTACGTGTTGCCACACAAGGGCTGGTTTTGTTTTCCCTTTTCTGGGCCTTGAGCAAATATTATGAAACAGAGAATCTTTTTATGAAATTCAACGTAGTCGAGGCATTTCTGTTGAATGAGTTTTTTGGTAGTGGGTGGGTGTGCAGATCTTTGTTTTGAAGGGGCCTGAAGAAATTGAAAAAGGTCCACAGAGAAGAATCAAAATCTCAGAAAGAGCAGTAAAAAAAATTGTCTGGCAGGCTTTCGTATCTTGGCATTGTTGATACGTTGGACTAGATCATTCTTTGCTGTGGGGGCAGTCCTGTGCATCGGAAGATGCTTAGCAGCTCCCCTCCATGCCAATAGCATCCCCAACCCCATTGTGACAACCAAAAATATCTCCAGTAATTGCCAAATGTCGCTGTGGGGCGAAATTGCCCCAGGTTGAAAACCATTGCTCTGTGGGATTTTCAGCATCTGAGTATAAATTAACTTGAAGAGAGATCATTGACGAGTTTTCAAATACATGAAAAAAGTGGTTAAAGACATTAGTTTGGCGTTGCAACAAACGTGTGCTTGGGTATGGAACACCTTTCCGATCATAAATGTTTAATCCTGTAAAGGATTGCTGACTCACTCTACCTTCCCCAGAGATTTCAAATAAAAGCTCCTCTCTGTACATTGTTAGAGCGCCCTATCTCGGTGCCTGGCAGTGCTGTCATAAGTGCTTTCTCTCTGTGAGCTCGTTTAGTCCTTATATCTGTTCTGAGGCAGGGATTGCATCCGCAGTTTACAGATAAGGACGCTAAGATACTTAGAGGCTGAATAACTTGCCCTAAGGTGCACAGCTAATATGAAGTAGAGACGGGAGTACAAACCAGACTGTTTCTAGAGCCCACATTCCTTTCCACTACCACATGCTCTTACAGAAAGGTAGGCGAGGGGTCGGCAACCTTTTTTCTGTCAAGAGCCGGAGAGCAAAGACTTTAGGTTTCACAGGCCCCGCAGTCTCTGTTGCAACTGCTCAAGTCGGCCAATGCAGAGCGTGAGAGCAGCCACAGACAATACCTAAAGAGATGAGCGTGACTGTGTCCCAATAAAACTTTAGTTCCCAAAACAGGCGGTGGCTGGGTTTGGCATGCAGGCGGTACTTTGCTAATCCCTGGGGGAGAGCACTTTCAGAGGCTGTTTAAGTCCCACCCATTTAGAAGAAAGGGGAACTGAACTGATTACACGCACAATCTATCAAAAAGCTTTCTAAGACCCTCCGGGATAGGTAAGCGCCTCCTCCAGCTGTTCACCTTGTTGCCTGTCTGTTTCTGAACGCCATAAAGATTTGGGTGGTGGGGAGGCCAGGAAAAGGCTAAGAGAAGGAAGGCCTCATTTCTGTATCTTTTAGGATCTTCGAGCATCAAGCTTCAGAATCAACCAAGATATAAAATTTAAAGATCTGAAGCCTATGTGTGCAATATTTTGTGGTCACGGTAAACTCCATGAGGAGGGCTACCTCAATTTTGATTGCATCTTGTCCGTATTTCCTCTCTCAGGATGTCATCTTAACTCTTCAAGAGAAGCTCTCCATCAAAGGCATCGAACACTTCTCCCTCATGCTGGAGCAGAGGACGGAAGGGGCGGGAACCAAGCTGCTCTTGCTTCATGAACAGGAGACTCTAACTCAGGTGTGTGAAATTACCCCTCAGGTATGCTGCTCTGGGAGCAGAGGCTGCCCAGCCCCAGAATTCCCCCGTCTTCGAATTCTTTAAATGTATTAACTGCAGCCCTGGGTATCCCCACTAGAGGAAACGCTGGCATTCATAATGGATTTTACACCTCAAGGTGATGCTTCCCTTTTGTCAATTTTTCATAGACTGCCAGTTGGTCCCCCAAACAGATTTGTCATCCAAAGACTCGGCAGCTACTCCCTGGGAATATGGCTCTGTAGAATTATACTTTATGTTATAGGAATGACTTGTGCACCTGTTTTAGTCATTGATCTCTGGAAACTATGAAAAAGAAGTGGTTTCTGAGATTATATAAATTAAGCTGAAACCATAGTTAGTGGTTTTAAGTTCCGGGTGCACGCTTGAATCTATTTTTGGAAACCTGAAATCCCTGCCCCAGTGCTGCCCACTGTAAGTCTGTGATCCAGCACTGTGTCCCAGTTCCTGCTTACCAAGATGCCACCCCCATCTGTTCTCTGGGGAGACGGGCAGGCTGCTTGGCTGCTGAATTCAATGAGGCTCCCTGACTTTTCCCGTGATTCCGCACAAGCAGAGTCTTTGTTGGATGTATAAGAGATTTCAACAAATTCCTCTTATTTAGGAGAGTTCGATGATGAGGGAACTTGAGGGAGGGTGGCATGAGGGGAGACTAGGTGGAGAAGCAGGGAGTCGAAACATCCCCAGAATGATGAAGTAGCAGAAAGTGATGTCACGCTAATGTGCTTCTTGGTTGTTGCATAATTAAAAGCTGGTGTCCCACCGTCTCTGTCCCACAGAGAGCCCTGATTCTCTAGATTCAGTAAAACTCGATGAATGAATTAGTTACAAAGTTATCATTTGTGTTCATTTATATTCCTCTATCTAAACTTGACCTATTATTTTTATCAGGTTTAAAGCTACCTATAGATATTTTAAATCACTTCTAATGTTTGTTATTTTAACCTGTGCCAAAACACTCTTGGAAACAGATGACTTTATTTCATGCTTCGTTATAGGGGAACAACCTGTGATATACAGAATCCCACATGTGAAAAGTTAGTGTTTGGCTCTGAGTTCCTCCAGAAGCTGAACTTAAGACAACGATTTGGATGCAAGTGGTTTATTTTGGAGAAGGTATCAGGAAATACTGGGAGAGGAATGGGAGGAAGATGGGAAAAATTGGAATGCTGGTAAAGAGTGTGTTAGCAAAGCCAGTTTCCACTGTGGGCAGGTAGAGCTCAATCATACTGGGGAACACTGGGAGCCAGTGAAGGACACACCTCAGAACTCTCCCACCCGAAGGGGGAGGGGGCTCTGGCATTTGTCCGCTAACATGCTGCCCGTTATTGGTGACGGGCTACTCCCAAGAACAGTTGCTCCCTGGCTATGCAGGTCCGCCTTGTGCTGGTGATGGTCACGGGTGTTTGCAGTAAATAGCCTTCAGCTTTATCAGTAAATGCCAAGGGGATATGGCGCACAGCCAGTTACTGTGAGTCTAAGGAAACCTCCCACAATTTATTGAGATTTCTAGTTACACTTCCCCTCTGAACTTCTCTCTACCGCAGAGCCTTTCTGGGAAAGCTTCATGCTGATTTCGCTGGACAAAGATTCTTGCAAAGTCTCTTCTGGTGCCGGCTAACCATAACTTCCCATTCCAGATTGATTTCCAATTTTTAAATTCCTTTTAAAATGTTGCAAGGAAACAAAAAGGCTCTAAAAATGATTCTACCCTTATCTTTCTAGAAGAGGCTTTGTTTTGTTTTTAATCAGAATGAAAAGCAAAGTGCTAAAACTCAAGTATTATCTCTAGAAAAGAAAATTGATTGATTGAAGTATCTTGAAACAAACCAGCTATATGCCTTTGAAATCAATGCATATGAAAAACTCTTTTTTTTTCCTTCTCCCCAAAGCCCCCCAGTACATAGTTATATCTTCTAGTTGTTGGTTCTTCTGGCTCTGCTGTGTCGGACGCTGCCTCAGTGTGGCCTGATGAAAGGCCTATGTCCACGCCCAGGATACGAACCAGCGAAACCCTGTGCAGCTGAAGCAGAGCGCGTGAACCTAACCACTCGGCCACGGAGCCAGCCCCTTCTTGTTTGTTTTAGAGACTGTTATTTTTATAGACTGTCATTTATAATGAGTCTAAAGCACTGTTTTGCATTTCATTAATTTATTTCCCAAAACTAGTGTAAACTACTGATGATAAAAATAGACCCAAGGTCGCTTATAGGAAATTCAGGGAAGATAGATTCCAAACCAGTAATTAAAGGAGCTGGAGATATGATGATACCTGACTTTCTAACATCAGCACAGATCTTCCAACAAAATCCTCTGTGATGTCACGGTGAGACATGGCAGCCCTGACCAGCACCACAGGTCTCCTAGGTTCCCGTGTTTCCTTCTTCCTGGTTCACTTTACCATCAGCCAGTGATTGGCAGCCCATAGCCCATGGCCTCATGAGTCCACTCAGGTTTGCCATCCTGCCCACAGCCAGAAAGCTGGTTCAGCGTTCCTACTTGGGCATTCCAGGATGTCCAGTATACCTTTAAAAGTCGGCTGTGTTTTCCCATTGAAATTCTTCTGCTCAAGAAAGTTAGCAATGTAAACTGTAAGAATACGTATATAAATACATACACATACATGCCATAGGACTCAAAAAGCTATTGCTATTTTTATTTTGAATTTGTAAATCGTAGTTCATGAACCTTTTTATTTTTCCAGGTTTGTCCCCTGCGTAAAAGTAGTTACAGGTACATGAAACTACATACAAGTGCATAAAAAAATACATCCAAGTGCACAAAACTATAAGTAGAACAGCTGTGTTGGCTCAGGCTGTGTGGGTTTCATTTCCTCTTTAAGGGAAATTGTGCTGACCTCTTTAAGGGAAATTGAAGAGCTTTTACCTTCTTTCTTGGAGTCCAGTGTCTTCCCATGCATTCAGCTGTGTATTAAGCGCCTACTATTCATTGATTGATTCCCTTTGGTTGCCAAAGGAATTAAAAAATTAACACCTAGTAGTTGGCACATACTTTGCTGGAAGAGGGGAAAACAAGTCAAAATGATCCATGGTCCTTGACTCTAAAGAACCTGTGGTATATTCTAAGCTCCTTTGAACAATTTCAACAATATCATGATATCATAAGTTTGGGGTAGTTTGGAAACTTGTGGACTCCAGATTTAGTGCATGGGCCAAAACATCTGCCTTCCCACTTTCCAATGCGATGTCATCCTAGGTTGACCCAGTTATGCTTTCACTGTTACAGTCAGTCTGGAGTCTAGTTTAGAAAGAACCCACAGCAGTATTATGCAGTAATAAACTGTAGTGAACAATCTCTGTGCTCTCCCTCTGGATCCCCTTCTGTACCCTCCCACCCTTGCACCCCCGCCCTAGATTTGGAGTGCTATCACTTACAACAGCCAGCACCTGCAGGTCTTCAGAGACCTGCCCTCAGACTACTGGCGCCCATTCCACACCTGGAAATTCACATCCCCCTGGGACAGCCCGGAATCAATGAGTTCTCAGTGCTCTTTGGCCCAGGTCCCAGCGGCTCTGTGGTGTAAGTTACCCTACAGAGTCCCCCACAGGTCAGGCAGAAGCTATGCCCTGCTGGATACTGGGCCCTCCTAGGCTTCCTCTCCTGCCTGACCTGCTTTCCTCACTCCCTTACTGGCCTCTCCCGGGAGCACTAACTTGGTAAGTCCCTCATCATAGGGTCTGCTTCTGGGGAACCCGACCTAAGTCACAGGTATGTACAGTTTTCAGGGAATGAGTATCTATGACAAATACTAAAAGAATTTCAGCCATTTCCTTCCTCGGTGTCCAAACTTGCCTGTGCTTCTGTGTCCCTCAGCCATTCCTCAGTCAGCACTGAAGGATTCTTGTGATTGGTCTGCTCTTCTAGGTGACACAGCGGCCCAGCTCCCATAAGATGAGGTGTCTTTTCCGAATTAGCTTTGTCCCAAAGGATCCAATTGACCTTTTAAGGAGAGATCCAGTTGCTTTCGAGTATCTCTATGTTCAGGTATGTGAGAATTTGGGCATGTTTTATATTAACATTGGGGGGTAAATTAACTGTGGGGTTTTTCCCTAACTTCTGAAAGAAGTTTGGGATTTTATTTCTTTTTGTCCCCCACCCCAAGCTCAATGCATTATAAAATGATTCCATGGTGCTTTCTTAATTTTTACTTTTGATTTTGAAATAATTTCATACTTAGGAAAAAGTTTTGAGTAGTAAAAGAACTCTTTGGTATCCTTCATCGAGATTCACCAATTGTTAACATTTTACCACATTTACTTTATCTTTGGCGTGCACATGATCCCCCGTTCCCCGCCACACACAATTTTTTTTCTAACTTTATGATTATCAGTTACCAAAATCACGCTCATTTACTACTAAGTACTTCGGTGTGTATTTTCTAGTACCAAAGACATTTTCTTATATAATCACTGTGTAGTTAACAAAATCAAGAAATTTAACAGTGATACATTTCTATTATCTGATCTACAGTACATATCCAGATTTTGCCTATTGTCACAAATATGTCCTTTATATCATTTTTTTCCCCTAGAAAACAAGATCCACTCCAGGATCCCATTTTGCAAGTAGTTGTCATGTCACTTTAGTTTCCTTAAAACTGGAACATTCTTCAGACTTTCTTTGACTTTCAAGGACTTGACAAGTTTGAGGAGTACTGATCAGTTATCTTGTAAAATTCTCTCAAATTGGGTTTCTCTGATGTTTTCTCATGATTACATTGAAGGTGTGCATTTTGGGCAGAACACCAACATGAGTGATTTTGTGTCCTCCTTAGTGCGTCACATCAGGAGGCCCATGATGTCAGTTTGTCCGCTCAATGGCAAGTTTGACTTTGACTCTTGCTTAAGGCAATATTCTCCAAATGTATCCATCCAGAAGTTATCACTTTTCCTTTTGTAATTAAGAAGTAATTTGTGGAGAGTCATTTTGCAACTCTCTTATTATCCTTCTACCCACTAGTTTTAGTATTTATTGATGATTCTTGCCTGAATCTATTATTGCACTGGTTAAAAATGGTGATTTTTCTAATGCCATTATTTCTTCTTCATTTATTGGCATTCTACTGTAAGATAGAGTTTCCCTTCTCCTTTATTCACTTATTAACTCATTCATTTATTTGGTGCTTAGATTGTTCTGAAATATCATGATATACTTTATACTGGAATTATTGATTTTAAGGCAATAAAACTTTAAGAAGGTAGTATTCTTTGCAGTATCCTTTGATTCTGGGATACAATTGTCAGAAAAAAAAAAAAAAGGCTTCAAGAAATGAGAATCTTTGCTAGTTTGTCCCAAAGGGAATTTCCCCATTTGATATTTAGGAGATGTTCCTATATTTCTCTATCACTGCTTCCTATTCTTCTCACTTAAATGCCTAATATAATCACATTAAACAGTAAGAAGCCACTTACCTCATGCTTAAGCATCCAGCATTAAGCTACTCGAAGAGGTTGTAAACCTAATGTAACCTTCCTCCACAAAAAAGGAAGAAAAGACGAGAAAAACAACCGACATGCTCTCTTTGGCTGGGGATACCTGTATAGGGCAAAGATTGCTGGAGCCCTACATAAGAAATAAAAAGCAACGAAGCCGCAAAAAGAAAATAAAAGAAATATTTGTTAACTATGGGTAGTTGGTACACTGGTATTTGTTTTACTATTCTCAGTATTTTCTTGTATATTTAAAGCTTTTGTAATCTTTAAAAAGTTGATTGGGAAAAGAAAGTAAGTAGAAGATGGCAGAGAGACATAGACAAGATAAATGGCAGAGGTTAGGAATAGTGACATAAATTAAAATGGTAATAAGCCCTGGAGAACAGAAATGAAGTCAGGGGCCAGCCCTGTGGCAGAGTAGTTAAGTTCTCGTGCTCTGCTTTGTCGGCCCAGGGTTTCACCAGTTCGAATCGTGGGAGCAGACATGGCATGGCTCCTCAAGCCATGCTGAGGCAGCGTCCCACATGCCACAACTAGAAGGACCCACAACTAAAAATACACAACTATGTACCGGGGGGCTTTGGGGAGAAAAAGGAAAAATAAAATCTTAAAAAAAAAAAAAAAGAAATGAAGTCAGAGAAGAAAGAATCGGAATGTACTAGAACATTCCAGCAGATGGAGGCACTCAGGGAAAGGCTGGTTAAACATTCCCCATCAGTGGTCTTTGGAAGAGACTGTGGTATTTACAGCTCAGTAGGATGATTAATGTTCTTGAGGATAACCCTGAGTCATCAGGAAAAGGCAAGTCCTGTTCGGTATACCCTGTTTGTCGTGTAAAGAAATGTGCCGTGCACTTTACACATTTTCTACCCAAAACAGTGAAATTGTCATGACTTGGGTTTTTTAAATGTTAAACTTTGGTCACCTGGACCCCCTCAACAAATGCCCCTGTTCTACAAAAGGCCAGGCAACCCAGATGTGACTGCATGAAACAAACAGCCTGATTCTCAGCTGATCTGTTACTGCGTCTTCCCCGTATTCCTGCTGAGCACTGACCCACGGCTTTGCCACTGCAGCTCAGATCACGTGCTATGATTTTTAGCTTGTTAGTTGCAAATAAATAGTTACAGGTGCCAGTCAGTGTGTGGCTGTAGACAGTGAGATGCATTCAGTTGTCCTTCTCTATAATTATATACTCACCCCATTAACAAGATGATGCTTTAAAACCATTTACTCTGCTTCTCTTTTAAACATCACAAGCTCATTGCATTTTTATAAGAGAAGAGCGTGGTGGTGTTTGCCTTGGGGAGGGGAGACCTCTTAAGTAGACCAGGAGTACTGCTAAGCACAGTTCTGCATAAGGTGTGTTTGCTCAAATCTAAGGCAGTGTGTGGAGCTCTTTCTTATTCACAAGACATAGCGTTTATACCTGTGGCACTGGCCTGAGAACAGGAAAACCTCTCCTGGGATCTTGCCCGGGGCCCAGCAGAAGACTGACGCCATTCCTGCTTTTCCATCTTGGGTGTCGCATGAGTGGTGGATTAGCCACCCCTTCAGGGAGTAGTCAGGGGGGGAGGTGGAAAGCCATGGATGGTGAGTGATAGAGACCAAAATAAAGCTACCATCATCTTGTAGATCTTCCACTGAGGATAGGAAATGAGAATTTCTTGGCCTCAGACCCTCTGCTTCAAAATGCCTTGTATCACAGAATGTGTGGTACATCTAAAATAACGTATCTGTCTAACATAAGTCAGTGTATCTGCTAATGGTGCTGCGTGCCCATGTTGATTTTAAGGTACTAAAAAGATGCAATAAAATTAGCCTAGAGAACAAAAGAGTAAGCAGAAGCAACATATATGACATTACAAAGACAAAAATCAATTCAACTCAGTGGACTCCTAAGGAGGACAGTAGCTATTGACTAGATGAACCATAGGGATGAAAACAGAGGTTTCAATAATGATAATATCGATTAATCTCCTGGTCATTAATGGACCATGAGGTATTTTACAGATTTTACCATCTATAATACCAGTAAACTTTAATAATCCAGACTGTTCTAATTCATAATTATAATGAGCTATGCTGAAATTTACCTGTCCACTATCTATTAAGAAAAAGCTCATTACACCAATTGGCAAGTACTTAAGAGGCTACAAAATGTTTTCAAACACTTTAGCAGTATCGATTTCCTTTTTAATATCTAACATGTTCTTTATAAATAAACTTTTTTAGGCTTGGAGTCTGTCGGGACCTCTATTTAGCAACACAATAACCACCATTTGCTTGTGTAATGTACTCTCATGTAATAAAAGCATGATTAGTACCAAAAATATGTATATACGTAAGTCAGACGTCACACTAATTCTCCAGGACCAGTCTGAACTAATTATGTAATGTAATTAAGTGACTAATGACCTTGACAAAAAATTCACCCGGAAGTCTGGTTAAATACTGGCTATGACAGGCATGGGAGAAACAGTCCCAGTCCCAACTCTGGGCAGTTGTACTGATGACTCACCTTTATAAAGCACATTCCATTTTATCAAACCTCCTCAGTTATGCTAACAACCTTGAGAGTTGGCTGTTGTTAACCCATTTTTCAGATAAGAAAACGGAGACTCGAGAGATGAAATGCCATGTCCAAGGTCATTCAATTAGCAGTTGACAGACCCGAGGATCAAACCTGGAGCTTTTGTCTCTAAATTCTATGCTAAAATCCTGTTTCAAATCTGTGATACAATAGCAGTCAGAGAAGAAAGCAGTTTATCAAAACGATTTGTCAAAAAACTAATTCTTCAGGTGCCTGTTATGGACTGGCACTGTGCCAAGTGGCTTCCTCACCCTCATCTTTCATGAGGCTCTATAAAATAACCCTGTCTAGGCTGTCAACCTCATTATGGACAACCCTGGGCTCTTGGAAATAACTGGGAATCCCAAGACTAGCAAGACAAAATGGCAGCCGGGAATTGCTCTCAGAGGCTGCCTTCACTCACATCACCCTATCTCCCGCCTCAAGTCAGACTCACTTCCAACAAGGCGTGCTGTGCAGTCCCGAGAGGTGTCACTGAAGGAGAAGCAAAGGTGCAAGACCACATTAAGGATGGAGGGGGAGAGACTGTGACTTCACTCTGAGCAGTGAAGGGATGAACTGGGACGTGCACGCGGCTCGTGCGGCGTGTGCATGGCAGGGCGCCAGAACGGCGTGGGTAAGTATCCGAAGAGTAGATATTGTGTGCAGAAACCAGACTGAGGTGCATGTTCCCATTGAGCAGAAGCGATATATGAAGTGATCATCAATGTTCTCCTCTTGGAAGGGAGGCAAACAAATCTTGATACCATTTTCCATTTGAAGTCTTCTTGGGACAAGATGAAGAATAAAGGGGAAAAAGAGGCTAAATATCATATTTTCTAGCCCAAGAGCCTAATTTCCCAGAACAAAAGTAGGTAAACACGCACGCAGAAGATGCGTAAGCAATGCTGTGCTTCTCATCAACGTCTAGCTCAGTGCTTTGCTCCTAATGAGTGAAAATTCTCCCCTGAACCCCTTGCTTGGGGGCATATGGGATTTACATGTCCCAGCACACTCTCCGCCACTCTTCAACTTGAGGCTCACCTCAAACCCATGAGATAGGTGCCTCCCTTTTACGGATGAACAAATCCCCATTTCACAGATGAGTAAACTGAGGCTGCAAGAGTGAAAGTAAACTGGTCGAAGGTTATGTACATGGGTAGCCATCGGCAAAGCCAGGACTCCAAAGCAGGTGGGTATAAGTCCAGAGCTGCTGATACCCGTCGCCTTGCTAATTCTCCCTCCCCGAAGCTGCTCTGGATGATAATGAAGAGGAAGATAATGACGTTGATGATGACAGCTGTTAACATGTATGAGCACTTAAATTTACCAGGTAGAGTTCTAAGGGCTTTACATGGTTAACTCATTTAATCCTCACCAAAACCCTGTGGATAGGGAGCAGTATTATCCCCAATTCACAGAAGAGGAAACTGAGGCACAAAACAATTAAGGAAGTTGCTTGTCACACCCTTATGAAGTGGAAGAACAGGATTCCAACCCTGGCAGCCCAGCTACAGAAGCTGCATCAAGCTATCAGTGTTTCACATGTTCAGTTCTGGCACCTGTGTTTGGAAATTTCATACCTAAATTCCTAATTATTTTTACAAAAAGCTAAATATTTAAGTAGCAGCTCACTTGTCGATGAATGGTAAATGTTTTGTGTGGTCTGTGTTTGTGCGTGCAGTTAAATACTGACGCCGTTCCAAGCAGCGTGGTGGGAATGTTTCCACATTTAGCCTCCTTGCCTGGGAAGTGAGGGTGGAACGCTGGGGAAATGCGTGTCACCTGTTCCTCTAAGGCAAACCCCCCCCCCCACCCCGCCCCTTGCAGCCCATTCTTTAACAAGCTGCGCCCTCTGTTGGTCTCTTCGCAGAGTTGTAACGATGTCGTTCAGGAGCGATTTGGGCCAGAGCTGAAATACGACATAGCCCTGCGGCTGGCGGCGCTGCAAATGTACATCGCAACAGTGACCACCAAGCAAACGCAGAAAATCTCCCTCAAATACATCGAGTAAGTGTTGGCTCCCAGAGCCATTTCACAGACAAAGATACTGCCTCCTTAATGCCCGAGTGTATTTTTGATGTGTCTCTATTTCCAAAATGGATCTTGTTTGTGGCAGAGCGTTTGTTAACCAGAGGCAAAATAGATGTTTCATGTTCACTTTTGGTGGAAGAGATCCATTTCTTACATAATCCACCGTTGGAGAATTGTGGTTAAAATGAGAGTCATATTTAAAATGAAGCATACATTTTTAAATTCCTAAATGAACTTGGTTCCAAGCCAAGCTTTGGTCTCAGCGCTTTTCAGACATTAATCTGTTTAATTCTCACACATCCCTATGAGATCAGTAGAATTTTAGCTCCTTTTTACAGATGAGCAAATCAAGGCACAGAACGATGAGGTCACTTGCCCAAGTCACACTGGCTGTTAACTGCAGGGGGCAGGATTTGAACCCAGGCAGCGGGGCTGGGCACTGCACTGTAGTTTGTCTGACCAGTTGAAGCATCGTGTTTAGAAAGCGGTCTGTATTACTCCAGATTACTTTAGATGATCAAAATGCAGTATGAAAAGTAATGTTCTTAGTCACAATCAGCAAGGATGGTATTCGTAGTAGAGGACGGTGACAGAGTGGGAAAGGATGCCACACAATCAAACTTTGCTTCATGACTTGAATGTTGTTTGGAAAGTGTGAATACCTTCTCTGGCTGAGTACGACGTTTACGGCATCACTATACTACCTCTCTGGCCGGAGAAGACCCCTCTTCTTAGAAAAAAGTTCGTGTAGCCTTCAGCTGATGAGTCTATTTAAGGGTTATCCTTTCAAAGAGAACCTTCTGTCACCTAGTCTGTATGCTTCCCATTGGCAGGTGATTCAGTAGCCTAAAGCAGCCACCACTTTCTTAACCCTGGCAGCTCTAATGCTAAGAGAAAGGAACACTCCCGTTTCAAACTTCATGGCAGGGCTGAAGCCACATCTCACATAACTCTAAAAGCCTTGGAGTCCTCTCCCCCAACACCTCCACGAGATGTACAACCTAACGGCAATCCCACCGTCCAGAGAAGCTTCCCATGGGCTGCCTCTAGAGCCCTTCTGATTCCACAGTACCAGCTTTGCCCACCAGGGGGCAAAATGGCTTTTTCTCAGCAGGTTCGTGAGCCTGTGCTGGCTCCTGAGGATTAGCACTCCAACGTGCCGACTCCACTGCCACTATTCTCCTAACTCTCAGTTCTCCTGTCGGTGCCTAAGGACAAAGACTTGTGTGCAGCTTGAGAACCTCAGGCCTTCCAGGCTGGGCCCACTCCTTCTTGCAGGTGCATTGTCTCTCTCTCTCTCGCCGCACATGCAGTGACTGGAGCCTGAGACAGATTCGGCTCACAGAGAGGCCTGGCATTCAGGTGGATACATTCACACCCGCATCTGCTCCCCTTTCGGAAGTTCTTGGAGACGGATGCAACTGGCTCCCATTTGAAACGGTGGAAACGTGGCCTGCACAACTTGAGATGGTTTTCAGACAATTGAAATGCATTTTTGTTCCTACTCTCTGCCCACATTTACCAGGTTGAACATGGTATAGTCAAAAACCTCCAGAGATAACTAGCTTGAATAAGAATCTTGCAGAGTTAACAATAATGTTCTCATTAATTCGTTCATTCACCCAACAAATGTTCATTGAGCCTTTTACATGGTATTGACTCTAGGACAGTAGAAAGTACTACTAAGTATAAAGTATAATCTTAACCATCGAAGAACCTGTGATCTGATTATAAAGGCAAGACAAAAAGATATGAAAAAATAATGATTTAAAATAATGATACAAGTAGAATGACACAGTAGCTCATAAGGAGTGCCAAATGATGGGTAAAGATAATAAGTACAAGTTGAGGAAGAAAACAGTGATCGTGAAAAACCCTATCCTAACTAACTGGTGATGAAGAGCTTGAATGGTCAAGTGGGGGAAGGCTGTCTTCTTACCCTTGTTTGGATCTGGAGCAGAAGAAATAACCAGAACCTTCTCAAAGGTCTTCACATAATTTAGAAGACACTGATTGGGCACATGACCAATCAGGATAGAATTCCTTGAATTCCAAATGTGGTACCTTCTTAGGGTAGGGTTGTAGTCATTGCTGGGGAAGTGCGCTCTTGCCGAAATATGTTAACCCAGTCCCATTTGTTTGTTTGTTTTCTTGTATATCCACACCTATGAGTGGTGTTTGCACCTCCCTGTCCGTATGGACATACTTAAGTTTCATGAACCCCACCCTGACTCCTTATTAGCAGCACTCCCCACTCCCCTAGCAAGAAATGTTGACGGAGGGAGTTAGATCGATGTGATCTGGCTGGGAGAAAAGAGAACTATGTGTTTCTAGAGAAATAACCATTGATGAGGGAGATGGGAGAGAAGAATGGTTTGAGGGCGTGAAGGAGTTGCATCAAGAGAAGAAAGGGTGTGGGCAGACGAGAAGAAGTGACAGTGGAAATAACCAAAGGGATGGGGAGAAATGGATGTTGGAAATACACACTCAGATATGTGAATGAATTCTACAAGATCAGAGGTGGGTTGAGTTAAGTGTGTCCTCCGTTTCCACTGGCCCCCAATGTCTTGTTCGCATTCTCTCTGGAGGGTGAGGAATATGTTTCTTTTAAAATGCAAACATATGTATTAATGATCAAATAGTATGTTTCCTGAGTGTAAATTAAAAGTTGCTGCCCTAATTGGGGACTTGTCTCCATTCCCTGCCTTTCCAAGAGCTCATTTGTTCCAGCAAACATCAGAGCGCCATTTTGTCTTAGAGAACTAATCATCACAAGAATGTGAAATAAAGATATGCTCTTTATTGCAGAAAAGAATGGGGATTAGAGACTTTTCTTCCCTCTGCTGTGCTGCAAAGCATGAAAGAGAAGAACATAAAGAAAGCACTTTCACACCTTGTCAAAGCAAATCAAAACTTGGTACCACCGGGTAAAAAGGTATCACATTTGCATCTTAATAGAAAATGGATTTTAAAGAGAGAGACTTGCATGCGTTTTTCAAAATGTTTAAAATTAGCCCATGAATAAAATACTTAGCACCATATTTTCAGAAGCAGTAACACTGTATAACCTTTGTGTTTTTTTTAACTATTAACATGTTTCTAAGACTATTGAGAAATAACTATTCTTATGGAAACCTACTTATTTCTTGCAAGCTATAGACTCCATGTAGAGAGTATATGTGTGTTCACATGTGCATGCAGGAGAACCTTGCATGGCTCTGGAGACCTTGTAATTAGAGGATAGAATTGCAAGATAATTTCACATCTCCATCATACTCTTGCTTATCACTCACACCAGCTTAAATGCACAGCAGTCAGCAAGGGTGCCTGCAGACAGGATGCTACATTAATTAAACCGGGGGTTCTCTCCCTCAGCATATTGACATCTGGGACCAGATCATGCTTTGTTCTGGGAGGGGCCTGTCCCGTGCATTGTGTGATGTTTAGCAGCATCCCTGGTCTCTGCCCACGAGATACTGGTAGCACCCCACCCCCCTCAATCGTCACAAACAAAAATGTCTCCAGACATTGCCACATGTGCCCAGGGGAACAAAGTCACCCTGAGCTGACAACCATTGAATTAAATCTTACTTTGGGAAGAAAGATAAAATTGTCATTCATCATCATTGGTGTTAAAATCTTTTTTTTTTAAGTAGAAGAAACACAAAGGACATTTTAAAATATACTGTTGGTCAGAATAGAGAGTTATGTTTATAGGTAGTAAAAATAAAGGGTTTCAGGAACCAGAAAAAAGGGAGCCTTAAAATACTGGACCTATAAAATTGGAAGCAGTCTAACAACCCAAGAACACTTTGCAATTGATGTTGGCCGTAGAAACTTGTGTGACTCCAATACAAATCACTGTTTACCTGGGTAATTCTTTGGTCTTAGTATCAGATTTTAAGTCCTTTTTACTGGCTAAGACATGCTTATTTCTATTCTCTCCTCACCTCATGGCTCTTTTAAAATGTATAATCAAGTTCACCACACGATCAGCCACCCTTGACTTACTTCTCAGTTTCTGTAAGCGTTCAGCTCACAGAAATACAGCAGGACGTCATGGATCAAGATTTTTAAAATTTCAGTCCTGATTTGCCCAAAGCTAATTTCTTTTAATAGACTTGATATGATTTTTTTCAAGCCTGGCTCACTAGTTTTGTAATGATTTGGATAACTGCTCCAAGATGTGTCCATCAATCACTGTCCTATAAAGGTCAGTTTTTCTAGCAAGGGTCTTTCCTAGCAAACAGTTTTTTCTAGCCAAGAGTGAGTGGTTTGCTCTCAAATGAATTTGCAAAGTGCTTTGGGTTTTTGGAACCAGTAGGATGGACGAATAGTGCAAAATAATTACCTAAAGGGCAGTGCATTTAGGTATAGTTAACAAATGAGTTGGCAAGTCATCTGCAGTTGAAAACAGAATTTTACAGTCATTGCAACTTGGTGGTCTACAGCTTGATGGAAAATTTCGCCCCCAACAAACATTCCTGGCACATTCAGTATGAAACCTGGACTTTTTTTTTTAATCAAGTACTTTTTTTATGATGTGAGAATCTACATTTTTAAGTCTTTATAAAGGTAAATTTTATCTGGATAAAATTTCATTTGTAAATCATCATGAAACTCAGTAGATTCTTGGAGTTGAATCAATAAAACAGGGACTTAAGTTCAAACATTTCCACAATGACTGGAGGTCAGACAGTTCACTTCCCCTAAAAACTTGCAGAGACTGGAAGAAACTTGAGAAGGGAGCGTAGAGCCTGTTTAAAAGGCTTTATATAAATTGCAGGTGTGTGTTCAAAACAGCCCGCCCCAACTCTGCAGGCAGGTGAGTCTCCTGTGCTCTGGGAGAATTCGTATGCAACCCACCTTTGTCCCTAATTGGAAAGCACCACTCGCCTCTTGCAGTCTCCCCATGTGCGGAGGTTTCAGTGAAGTATTTCCTGATCTTGTTCTCACTTGTCGAGTGCCCTGGCCCAGCATATCCGTACTGATCAGCCCCCCATACATTTCCTCCCAAATAAAAAGATTTTAATCTTGATATCTCGTTGCAGCCCTTTATCAGGAAACCAGATAGAGAGCAATTGACTTCCATTCCTCCCGAAGAGTCCTTGTCACACCCCATCTGTCAGCAGGAAAAGGATCCTTCTAGTTTGCCCTTGTTTTCAGCTGGTCTCCAGCAGAAACAGAATCACACCCAATGGAGTTAACACCTGAGGTTTCTTTTCTCTCCTCAGCTTTCTGCACTGCAAGCCAAGGTCCATTATCTCAAGTTCCTCAGTGACCTTCGACTGTATGGGGGTCGTGTGTTCAAGGCGACCTTAGTGGTAATTTCTTTTTCTTGCTTTTTCTTGGAAGCCACAGAGGCCTGCAAAATGTCACTGCATAGGCTGTCTGGAATGAGCTGCTTCTGATGACAAAAGCAAGTCAGCTGTGAATCTTTTCCAGCCTCATTTCTAATCGACTGCACCCTAGCCTGAAAATATCAAAAGCAATGTTAAGCTGGATAACGTCACTGCAGAATGCCCTAGAAAAAGAAAAGTGAAGAACCCAGAGAATTGATGCATTCTAACAATGGCCTTCTTTTAAATCATTGGGCCAGAAGTTGCTTTCACATTAAAAAAGGAAAAATAATCCTCATTTCTAAAAGCCTCTCATGATTCTGAATATCTGTGCTATGATAACATTTACTGTCTACATTATTCATGATTTATCAGCGCCTCGAGGCGGTCATATATCTGGTTCTTCTAATTGGACGATTTGGTACAATATAACCCAGAAATACTTTCTAAAGAAAATGTAGTCCTATAAAAACAAACTCTCAGGTTCAACTTTGTGTGGCTTTTCAGAGGTCTAGTATTTTTACATTTTGTCAACATCTCTTTCTCAGCAGGCAGAAAAGCGCTCAGAGGTGACTCTCCTGGTTGGGCCCCGGTATGGCATAAGCCACGTCATAAACACCAAAACCAATCTGGTGGCTCTTTTAGCTGACTTCAGCCATGTCAACAGGATCGAGATGTTTACTGAAGACGAAAGCTTGGTGAGGGTGGAGCTCCACGTGCTAGATGTGACGGTAAGTCTCTCAGATGTTGACACGTGGCCTTGATTTGAACAGCTCGTTTCTGATAACGCTGCTGCTTTACAAAGCAGGCAAAATTTCAGTGTGTGCAGAGCATCAAAGGCGAGGTGTGGTGCAGAAAAAACCTACCCAACTCAGGCCTGAGGTCCTCCCTAAATAGTTGTGTGATTTGGGGACAAGTTGCTTACTTCTCTGGACTCAATTCCTTCATCTATACGTGAGAAAGCAAGCTAATTAATCTCTAAGGTCCCTTCTGGCTCCAGAATACGTGAACCATAGATAGAGAGTGGGGAGGTTTTCCCTGCTAACTTTTTAGAATACATGACTCTTGTATAGACAGGCAGGGAGAGTTTTCCCAACTTTGTTTACAACTCCCGTTCTCTTGTTAAATTGGGTCTGTATGTGCTTGTTCTTTTGGAAAAGCTGAGTGTTATAGTCAGTCTGTCTTTTTGTACTATAGCAGTGCGTACTGAGAAAATCTGGCCCCTAAGAACATCGTGGCCATTCCATTTCAAACAACAATCTGAGACTGTCCTCAAAGGGCAAAACTTTACTCTCAAAACAGAAGTTGACAGGAAATAATCCAGGTCCCCTGTCCCCACCTTCTTGTCCCAGGAATAGATGAGTCATTGGATTTGGATGGTGTTAATGTAGCTGATGTTTCCTTAGAGAAAAGGCACTGGACCTGAAGCGAGAGAGTGAGTCCAAAAAGAAAACAGTGTCAACCAGGGGGGTGCTCTGAGAACAGGCAAGGAGGCCCCCCTTCCACTCCCACTAGCGTCATGTGGAAGAAGTAGATTAAGAGTAAGTGAGGATGTGGGAAAAAAGGTTTCTACAGAGCAAATCAGAACCTGTCAGTGTGCTCTGCAGCCGGAAGAGATGACCATGAAAGGGAGAAGGTGGAGCTCGGACATGTTGGCCGTAGCAATGAAACGTGCAAGGATAGACTTGGAATGCCTGGCCCCCAGTCCATAACCAAAGATTCTGAGGACAACAGCCCATCCTGAAAAAGGGGCAGAAGAAAGGGTGAATTGGATGCAGTCATCAGCCTGATAACAGGGGTAATCTGTCCCAAACAGAACTGGGGGGCAAGACCCTATTGATGGTTTCCTGCCTATATCACAGAACTCTGGGGTGTCTTAAGAGGAGACTTCCATTGAAAAGGGAGGAAAAGGCAGTTCATGAAGTAGTCCAGGGGCTTTGGATGGCAAGTTGGGTTCCACGAGCAGGGCCATCAGTCCTGGCCAGTGTCCTACGCCTGGGAGTGAAAGCGACAGGCCTGTCATCTCTCTATTTCTGTGCCTCTCCGGCTGTCCGCTTTTTTTGTTGCTCCCTTACTTCTCTCTCACTTTCTCTGTCTTTCAACAAGAACACACCACGCAGTCCGCCCTTCCTACCTCAATGAGAACAATTGCGTCAATTGAACACATCCTTCCCCATGTGCCCAGATCCACGTCCAATGGTATGAGAACCTCATTGTTTCCGGAAAGTTTTAGCAAGGCCTTTTCTTGACTCCCATCTCTGTTTTGCCCTCCTGTGAATTTACGATTTCCTTTAGAAGCATCCTTTTCCTGCATCTCTTTGACACTTTGCATTCAGTCTTAGCAGTAATTATCACTTGATTTTTACTTCTCTTCAACACTAATTTTCACCATGAACCCAAACTTAACCTTCCTGTCATTTTTCAGATTGTGGGTTCACATCTGGTAACAGACTCCTTAACTATCACTTTTTAAAATGTTAACTATTTGGGAACAAAACCGATGTTATTTTGTTTTCCTTCCAATATGACCTGGAAAAGATTCAAAATATCTAGGCTTTCAAAATGTCGTCACCTAAATGTTTTGCAGTAAGGCTGTTTGGGTTATGCCTGACTTTTCCCCCCGTTTGTGCTTCTCTAGTGAAATGGTTGGTCAGTAACTTCTTTTGTTTACATTTCATAAGCACAAATGCAGCTGTTGTCACCTAAGGGAGGTTATTAAGAAGGGATGGCTTTAACCAAAACATTCTCTTTTGTGTAGCCCATCACACTCCTAATGGAATCGTCAGATGCCATGAACCTGGCCTGCTTAACAGCTGGATACTACAGGCTGCTTGTGGATTCCAGGAGGTCGATATTTAACATGGCCAACAAGAAAAATGCAGGCACCCAGGAAACAGGTATTCTCTTCCTGATCTCATGAAGCACTAACCCACCCCCATCCCCCACCTCACCTGACAACAATAATAAAGATGTTTTTTGAAAAGTTAAAATTGTACCCATAAAAAAATCTAATGTCCAAATTTAACACAAAAGCTTTCAAATGCTTCTGATATGGTCTAATGTTTTTAATGAAAATGTTGATTTTTCCATCACATTTTCCACGTCGCTTGGAAATGCCGGGGTGCGTGCTTCAAAGACAGTGATGTAATTATTGCGAAGGGAGTGAGCATCAGTCTTTGTGGCGTGGTTTCTACTGCCTCACTCTCACAGAGGTCAGGATGCAGAGAACTAACGGTAGAATGTCCAAGAGGAGTTGGGAGCCCCCAGCTTTAGGGCTGGCCTCTCCTTAAGCCCTAGGCCCGGACACCTGGACACGTCCTCCTGCATCAGACTTACCTCCAGGATTCTGGGAGCCTACCAACAGGAGGACTTGGGGCTCTAGAAGGGACCCCAGGAGCCATCTTAGCTCTGTAGTGGGACCATCAAGATGGTAAAGACATGGAATAAGTCAATTCAGCCATTTGCCAGGATGACTAGCCCCCACTCGAGGACAGGGGACTGTGGAAGTGATAGTTTCTTTAAGGGTGGGTGTTTTGATTTATTTTAGAACTTTTTTCTTCCATGTTTGAACATTTTCCTCCATCTTCAGTGGACACTCTGTAGCTGTGGCTGATGGACAGACACTAGCGTTCAAACCAGCGCTACTGACCCATGCAAAAAGGATAGCCAGGGTAACATAATCAGGGTTTCTTTAAAAAGAAAGGGAAATTCTTAAGAACAAATTCCATTGTCACTGTTTCTGAGAGAAGAGGGGGGAAGAGAAAAGAAGGGAAGGAAAATTCTCTCACTTTAACTTAGCAGAAAACAGAAATGATTATTCCATAAGTATATTGTAATATGTAGATAGACACACACACAGACAGACTCAAGCACACTTTATCATGATGGCTGGTTACATGGAGGCAATTGCAGTCATAGGAAAAAGGGAAAGCAGAGAGAAAGAGTGAGAGAGGGACCAGGCATGCCAGAAGGCAACTTTGACTTGTGACTAGATTTAATCCAACCCCACCTTGAAGTGTCCAGGTTTTTAAAAAATTTCTCTAAGTTTGGGATTTTTCATTTCGCAAAGTTGGGATTAAAATCCTAGCTTGCAAGGTAAAGATTAGAGAAAAATCTATGTACAACTCCTAAAACAATGCCCAGTACTTCTATTAATAATCAGCAGGGAAGAAACCGGGAGTGAAAATATCGAGAATGAAAGGGACAGAAACACAGAGAGGAAAGGAAGACAGACAGACCCTGAGAGGCACAAATGATTAAAAAGGAAACAGGGAAGGAACAATGAGGAGGTAGTGAGTGTGTGCTGGCTTTGGGGGTGAACATTTTTATGACCACACGTAGTCATTGAGCTAGGGGATTTAGAGCAATGTAACGCTGACCTTTGAAATTCCGAAGTGCAGTTCAGCAATTTAACACAATCCTTTCACATTGGAAGACCACATTTTGGCTTTTTGTTTTCAAATCTTAAAGTTTATCTTGAAAATAAAACCTTTTCCCTGTAGACTGTTAAGATTGTACAGGTGCATGAAGAAAACCAAACCTACCATTTGAAAAGTGGTTACAGGAATAAGGGCTCTGTCCAATTTATAGTGACTCACAAATGTAATGTTTAATCAGATTTATAGAGACAAAAACTTAGTTCCAAAAACTATTCTTACCTTGGGGAAAGAATGGAACTTCAAACTTTCAGTAATTTCTCCCAGTTCTACAGTGAGAATGACGGTGAGGGCACGTGTTGCAAATGTCTCTCTCCACTCTCAGAGAGAGAGTGTGTGTGTAAGAAGCGGGGACGAGGGAGAGAGATGGCATGCTCCAAAAAGCAGGAGGTTGACCCACACTGAGCAGCAGCCCAGGGCTTAGCATCCTCTGAGAGTTGAAAGTTCTTCTCTTCTCTTCAGAAACTCCCAAAAGATCTCCTGAGACTCAAGAAATGTAGAGAGTGAAGTTCGTTTCAGCCAGTTCATCCCTAGTCCATTCTCTCCTCCCATTCTGTGGGAGACTGGGCCACAGCATAGATCCCAATTCCCAATCCACATCCTTCTGTGTCTTCAAAATCATTCTAGAAACCAAATCAGTACACCCTTCTGGAAGGAAGCCAAGATTGAGTGTATATTTTCTTCTTCTCTCAAAGTGATCAAAGACCTTAGTCAAGATCTCTAATAAGGAACAGTAAGCTCCCATTTCTTCTCTATCTTGAAAACTAACCTTTAATTACTTTCAAAATCCCTGAACCCACATATTTATGCATCTCTGGGCCTTACAAGAGTCTGAATAAGTGTCTGTTAACTTGCTTTTAGCCTGCTGACCTATTCAGTTTTCTTATTGATCTAAACCAGGAATTGGCAAACTATGGCCCATGAATCAAATCTTGTTCTTACAAACAAAGTTTTATTGGAAGCCAGTCATGCACATTCTATTAGTTTCCTAGGGCTGCCATAACAAATTATCACAAACCCTGCAGCTTAACATAACAGAAACTTAGTGTCTCACAGTTTTGGAGGCTAGAGGTCTAGGCACTGGCAGGGCCCTACTCCCTAATCTTTTCTTGCCTCTTGCCGCTTCTAGTGGCCGTCAGCATCCCTTGTGGCTACATAACTCCAATCTCTCTGCTTCCATCTTCCCCTCTTCTCTGGGTGACCCAAACCTCTCTCTCCTTTTCTCTCATGAGGACTCTTGCCATTGGTTTTAGGGCCCACATGGATAATTCAGGATGCTCTCATCTTGAGATCCTTAACTTAATTATGTGCGTAAAGACTCTTTTTCCAAATAAGGTCATATTCACAGAGTGGACATATTTTGGGGGAGGTCGACGTTCAACCCACTACATCCGTTTATTTGTGTATGGTCTATGCCTACTTTTATGTTAACAACAACTGAGTTGAGTAGCTGCTCAACGGAGCAGTTGGCCCTCAAAACCTAAAATATTTACTATCTGGCCCTCTCTTTACAGAAAAAGTTCACCAACCCCTGGTTTAAACCCAGAGCTCCATCACGACTTTGCTCAACTGCTCTCCCTCCCCCAGTGATGCACACTCCTGACGTGCATGTGCACGCAGCCAGTCAGAATTGAAATTGTTGTTGTTAGTAAAATAATGCTGAACCCCCACAGGTATATTTATTATAAGGTAACATGCAAATATGGCTGGTGTGTAACTCAATGTCTTCAAAATTATATCTTTACTTGCTATTCTTGAAAATATATGTAAAATGACTTGGAACATTGTTCAGCATTCAGTCCATTGTATAATTGATGGGGAGCAAACACCTCTTCAGTAAAACTGGTTTTTTTCCCCAAGTATTTTGTACACCTGATATCAGTGTTATCCAAACTAGGGCCAGGGGGCACTTTGAGGGGACAAATGGGAGAATATGTGGCCCTAACATTTCCTCAAAATATTGCCTCTGGAATCTACAAATCGACATTGACAGAATGACACGCTGCACTGTTTTGTTAAATATCAGAGTAAAATCTCCGCATCAAAATTTCTTTTTGAGGGACCAGCCCCGTGGCCAAGTAGTTAAGTTCGCGCACTCTGCTTTGGCAGAGCACTGCTCATCAGGCCATGCTGAGGCGGCATCCCACATGCCACAATTAGGACCCACAACTAAAATATACAACTATGTACTGGGGGGGTTTGGGGAGAAAAAGGAAAAAAAAAGAAGCAGATTGGCAACAGATGTTAGCTCAGGTGCCAATCTTTAAAAAAAAAATTTCCTTTTGAAAGACCTTTGAACAAAGAAAACAACATATTTTAAATTAGGGTTTTGCAATTCTAATTCATGAGGAGCATCAAACAAATCTTCAGGAGTTCTCATGATACAAAGAAAAATTGAAATTTGTCAAAGTATTAACTGTGCTTAGAAACAGCAGAGAGAATTATATTACCTGTGACTGCTCTACCTTATGCACCATACATATGTGTGCGTGTGTGTGTGTGTGCATACAGGCATGCATACTGACATTTATACATGAATATATTAACACCCACAAGGGTATAAAATGGCTGAAGATAGAGGTTTTTGTGCTATCATTACAATATTTATTATTACATTATATTTTTATTTATATATTATACATACTTATTATTACATTCTTACATTATCATTACAGTATTTCCTAAAATATGTGGTAGGAGTATGAGGATCCTTGGCCTTCTCTTAACTTAATGAAGAAAAAGTCCAACATCTTCCTCTACAAAGTGAGGAATGTTAGATCTCGCTTTATAAAGAAAAGGGCGATCTATTTTCCAGAATAACAGCCTGTTGGACTATCACCTGTAAGGATTTTTAAAGGCATGTTGTACACCCACATTCATAGATGTAAATGAGGTCTTTTAATAATAGAATGAAGGGCCGGATGGAATTAAGCTGGAGTTCCCTACTCTCAAATGGTGTTATGTTTTATCGAATAGCAGTTATATTTTATGCAGTATCTGTTTTGTTAAGGTCAATTCTCCTAACCAAGAAAGCCTTACACCTGAAGCCTAAGTCAACCAGTACCATATTTAGAAAGCTGAATAACCGTAGTTACAAAAGTGATGCTACAAGCCATTAAATTAAGGACAGAGACGAGGCCCTCCAGAAACCAGACAGCACAGTAATATTCTTTGCATAATTCTTTCTCTTTAGGAGCTGAAAATAAAGGAAAGCATAACCTCCTTGGCCCAGAATGGAACTGTATACCCCAAATGACCACCTTTATTGGCGAAGGGGAACAAGAAGCCCAGATAACATACATAGATTCAAAACAGAAGCCAGTTGAGATTACAGATGGCACCTTGTGTCCAAAGGACCACCGGCACTTATATATAGACAACACCTATAATTCAGATGAACTCAACCAGCAGCTGACCCAGCCGGAAGATGCTCCATGTGAGGCAGACTACAGAAGTCTAGCTCAGCGGTCCCTGTTGACCCTCTCAGGGCCAGAAACTCTAAAGAAAGCACAGGAGTCTCCAAGAGGAGCTAAAGTGTCCTTTATTTTTGGAGATCTCGCCTTGGATGATGGTATTAATCCCCCGACTCTTGGTTATGAAAGACTATTGGATGAGAGTCCAGAACTGCTGGAGAAACAGAGGAATCTCTACATCAGCAGTGCCAATGACATGAAGAGCCTGGATCTCACTCCAGACACAGAGAGCATCCAGTATGTGGCAAACTCTGTTTATGCAAACATAGGTGATGTGAAGAACTTTGAGGCCGCTGAGGGGATAGAGGAGCCCCTCTTGCACGACATCTGTTACGCAGAAAACACTGATGACGCAGAGGACGAGGATGAGGTGAGCTGTGAGGAGGACCTCATGGTGGGAGAGATGAACCAACCACCCATCCTCAACCTTTCTGGGTCAAGCGATGACATCATCGACCTCACATCCCTGCCCCCTCCGGAAGGGGATGACAATGAGGATGACTTTCTGTTGCGTTCCTTGAACATGGCTATCGCCGCACCCCCACCTGGCTTTAGAGATAGTTCAGATGAGGAGGACTCTCAGAGCCAGGCAGCTTCCTTCCTCGAGGACAAGGAACCAGGCAGTAGCCTGCAAAATGATGAGATCCCCGTGTCCCTCATTGACGCTGTGCCCACCAGCGCCGAGGGGAAGTGTGAGAAGGGACTGGATAACACCGTTGTTTCCACGCTGGAAGCTCTAGAAGCTCTGTCCGTGTCAGAAGAACAGCAGACCAGTGACAATTCAGGTTCTTTCACGATTGTTACATTTATTCACTGATAACCATATCATTTCATCCTTTCAAGCCATTTGCCCTTGGAGTCCTGTTATGTGGTGTTCTCCATTTCACGCATGTCCCATTTCATAAATGTGCTGAAACTACCATCATGGGTTTTTGTGTATGTGGTTTCCTTTGTTGTTATTTTTTTAAATATGTAGCACGTTTTTTCCCCCATTTCTGGAACAACTGTGCAATAAACTCAGAGTCCTTACTGAAAAGGGAAAAACTTGGTATTTTTTTTTAATAATAATGAGTCCCATTTTCTTACATGTCTCCTAGTGCCTCTGCATCCATTAATCGGTTCTTGTTTTTTACGGCATGCAGGTGTAGCCATCTTGCGGGCTTATAGCCCCGAGTCTTCAGACTCGGGCAATGAAACTAACTCTTCTGAAATGACTGAGAGTTCTGAACTGGCCACAGCACAGAAGCAGTCAGAAAACCTCTCCCGCATGTTCTTGGCCACTCATGAAGGCTACCACCCCCTTGCAGAAGAGCAGACAGAGTTCCCCACCTCCAAAACTCCTGCTGGGGGCTTGCCTCCGAAGTCTTCCCATGCCCTGGCTGCCCGTCCGGTGACTGACGTCCCTCCCAAAGTTGTGCCTTCCAAGCAGATACTTCACTCAGACCACATGGAGATGGAGCCTGAAACCATGGAGACCAAGTCAGTCACTGACTATTTTAGCAAACTGCACATGGGGTCGGTGGCGTATTCCTGCACCAGCAAAAGGAAAAGCAAGCTGGCCGATGGGGAAGGGAAAGTACCCCCTAATGGGAACATGCCAGGGAAAAAGCAGCAGGGGTCCAAAACAGCTGAGGTGGAGGAGGACACCAAAGGTAAATTTGGTACTGTGTCTTCAAGGGACAGTCAACACCTAAGCACTTTTAATCTGGAAAGAACTGCTTTTCGCAAGGACAGTCAAAGATGGTATGTGGCCACTGATGGGGGGGTGGCTGAAAAGAGTGGGTTGGAAGCAGCAACAGGGATAACCTTTCCAAGAGCTTCCGGTCTGGGGACAAGGGAGGCTGAAGGGAAGGATGAAGGGGCTCCCGATGGAGAAGCCAGTGAGGTTTCAGGACTTGGCCAACAGGACCACTTCTTAACTGACGTCACCTGTGTAGCTTCAGCCAAAGACTTAGATAACCCAGAGGATGTTGACCCGTCTACCTGTGACCATCCTTCCAAGCTTCCTGAGGCAGAAGAGAGTGTGGCCCACCTTTGTGACTACCACTTGGCCAAGCGGATGTCATCGTTACAAAGCGAGGGCCATTTTTCTCTACAGAGCTCTCAAGGCTCTTCAGTGGATGCAGGCTGTGGCACAGGCAGCAGCAGCAGCACCTGTGCCACACCTGTGGAGTCCCCACTCTGCCCCTCCATGGGGAAGCACCTGATTCCTGAGACTTCGGGGAAAGGCATGAGTTATGTTTCTTCAGAGGAGAGAGCCACTGGGCTTCCCAACCACGGAGCCACCTTTAAGGAATTACACCCACAGACAGAAGGGATGTGTCCGCGGATGACAGTGCCTGCTCTGCACACAGCCATTAATGCTGAACCCCTGTTTGGCACTTTGAGAGACGGATGTCATCGACTCCCCAAGATTAAGGAAACCACAGGTACAGCAATGATGGATTTAGCACTTTGTATTACATGCCAGGAGCATGTAAACCAAGCTTACAACAAACCTGAAAATATAAAGTCTGGAATTAAAGTAAAAGTTAGAATTTTTAAAAAGGCTGCAAAACTGTGGCCAGATTAAGTATCAATCGTTCATCCCCCAGTGTTTAATACTGAGGTTTCTAGAACTGGAACCGTAGTTAAATGGCACTTGCTGTTTAGAATCTTGCTCTGTTCCTGCTGTTAGAATTTGATGGAGCAATATTTTTTTCTAAATTCTAGATGTAGACTTGGTAGTGCCCAGTGTGACTTTTAGTTACAAGATAGTTTTGCTTAGAGTCACAAGAGTTTGATTTCCTTCTCAAGACATCAAATTTCGAATCTTGCCGTTTCATGATTGAGAGCAAGGAAGGATAATAGAGCAGGCTATCAGGAAGATCAGTGGGATTTGGGAAGATCATTTGCCTTCCAGCAATATGTACAGATTCCTCCCTCCTCTGTAAGACTCTCCTAGAGGAATATTCTGAAATGTCTGGCATACCTGGGTGTCAGGAAGGTTTTGGGGGTATGCATGATAAGCTGCTATATTTTCCCCAAAATAATAAAATATAGACACAGGTAGCAACAACAGCACAGCTACTTTCTGTGCCTGCCTCCACCGTTCTACCACCCAGTGGGCGCATATCCCTCTCACCGATCCACTTGGACAGCAATCATGTGGCAAAAGCAGATGCTCTTTCATACTTTCAAATTTCAAATTGTATCATCAATAGTGTCTTTTTTCATATAGGTCAATAGATGTTAGTGAGATCTTATAGTGGTTAATTTCCATTCCTGCCCTTTGTCTACTTTCTCAAAACCCACCGCTGGCTTCACCTGCCTTGGGAAACCCGTCGGGTGAATGTTACTTGACTCATCACCCAAATAGCATCTTTACCTCTAAACTAATTAAAGCATGTTGTTTAATCCTTTGCAGTTTACAAAGAGCTTTCACCTAATTTACCTCTTGCTTCTCACAAAAATTCTGTGAGATGGAGGTTAGTTTCTTCACATGACAACTTTTCTGAGTAAAGTTGAACAACTTGCCCAGAGTCTCAACTTCAAACCCTGCACCAGGCAAACCTCATGGGGCCCTCTTAAAAAGGTTAGCTTATTTAATTTGCATTAATTAAATTAGGCCACTTCTTTAAAAAAAAGGTAACCAATGCCAGGATTAACCTAACTCCCATGAAATGAAACTTAAATATCATAAATATGCTTGAATACTCTGTATGTAGGATGTGTGTTTTCTAATTATGTGTCTAAGCTTTGATAGATAAATATTGGGAGCAAGGCAAGTCATGAAATTCCATTGTCTCCCTGAAAATGTTTGTGATTTCTAGACAATTCCAAATGAATCAGTAGTTTAAGAAATAATAGATTCTATTATTTCTTGAAATGGAAATCTCTTACGAGATCGCGGGAAGCAGTCTTTGGAAAGCAGGATGACCCTGACAAATGGCAGTCCTTCCAGAATACATCCTCGGGAAATGACAGGCATCACGTAGAAATTTAGTGAAAATAACCACCCATGAGATGCTTAATGATTCTCTCTGTTTTTCTACTACCCCTAGTGTAGCTTTGACAGAGCCTGGGAAGGAGAGACGAGGAGGCATGCCTTCAGCTTGGTCTCAACATCCTGAAGCTGATCCCATCCTGCTACCATCAAACATTCACTCAGAATCAAAGGTGCCAATTCCAAATCAAGACCCTAATGATTTCTCCCAAGCAAACCAGGCATACAGAGAGGCTGTGAGCTGGCGGCCACTGGATCTGAACGGGGGAAGCCTCAGGACACCCCCCAGCCAGAGAGCTCTGAGACGTAGCAGCAGTATCCTCTCCGGATCTGTAGGTTTGGAGATCTTCCGAGAGAGAACCAAGGGTGCAGTCAGCTTAAAGTGTCAAGGTATCACAGAAGCACAGGAGGCCAGTTCAGAAAGGCAAGCAGAACTCCCCCTGGGGAAGAAGCTCACCAAAAGTTTTTCCCAAAGCTCGATGCACTTTAGCTCTGAAGGGAGGGTTCACAAAAGGTCCCCAGTGGCTCACAAAGACTCAAAGCTGTATAGGACATTACCCTTGCGGAAGCTAGAAGGCAGCAATTGGAGATGCCGGGGCCCTTTCAGCTACTGCTTCCTGAGCCGAGGGCAGGATGAAGACGGTGATGACGATGAAGAGGGGGGAGAGGCCACCCGCCGGGTCCCTTGCCTCTATCGACCACAGATGACTCAAGCCATGCCAGAACCACCCAGCCCACTCCTGGCTGTTGGGATTCAGAAGCAAGGAGGGGAGCTGTCCAGAGGTTTAGTGCTGAAGGTCTGGGCAGAAGATCTGAGTGGCCCAGATGACATAGACTTCAGCAACCTGGCTTTTGATGCCCGGATTGCAAGAATAAATGCCCTAAAGGAGAGCACATATGCAATGCCCGATGGGTTCCTCGCAGCCCAAAATGATGCCAATGAGCTGCTCTGCCTTGTCAGGGCAACCAAGGAGAAGAGAGAGGAGTCACGCCCTGAAGCGTATGACCTTACACTTTCTCAGTACAAGCAACTGTTATCCATCGAGTCCAGACAGTTGGGAAGTGCCTGTAGGAAAATGGCGATGGCGGAGAAAAGCCCAGAGGAGATGCTCCTAGCTATGACTTCCAGCTTTCAAGTGCTCTGTTGCCTAACAGAAGCTTGCATGCGATTAGTTAAAGTCGTGAACTCAGAAACACAGCGGCAGGAAATTGTAGCAAAGATTGATGAAGTGGTCATAAACTATATTTGTCTCCTGAAAGCTGCAGAGGCAGCCACTGGAAAGACCACTGGGGATCCTAATGTTGGACTCTCGACGCGACATTCAACCACCATGGCCGCTCTCGTAAGCACACTAACCCGTTCTCTCAAGATGCTTTTAAATAAATAAAGTATGAAAGTCACATCATAGTCTACCTTTGCAAAGCCATACATGAACTTTTATTTACTTTATGTGTACGATGAACAGATGTCTCCTTTCTTCTCTCTGTATATTTTGTTATTTTATATAAAATAGGAGATAGAAGTCACACTGATGAAATGTTGAAATGTACTTATTGGATGTATTCTGTTTATATTATACATATATATACATGTAAAAGAAATATACAAGAAAGTGATGACATTTGGCTATTTTTCTTATAGTTAAAACTCCAGGTATATGATGTGAAATTTTAAATTCTACCATGTTAGAACAAAACAATGAAACCTATCCCCTTTCCCTCCAAGCAGATACTTGGAGACCATGTCATTCGTATTTAGAAGTAAAAAAAAGAAAGAAAGAAAGAAAGAAGGAAATCACAATGTATATAAAACAGTACCTATGTTTTAAAATTATGATTTTTAAGCATTGGAAATAGCAAAACATTTAAAATTCAAGAAGCTACTATGAATTATTAGAGAATATATATATATATAATAAATTAATTTTTTGCTCATAGTCTTTGGTTATCTGATGCTTTCTTCCAAGAATCCTACATATTTAATTTTGGCTTATGCCATTTGGGCTAGAAATGTGGTGGGGGCGGATTCTATTGTGTCAGCACAAATGCTCTTCACAATGTTTCTAGAATTAAAATACTTCCCAAATAGAAAAACAGAGGGAATGATGGGCAGGTTCCCGGGTAATACCTAGAGTTATAGATTATCTAATTATATAAAATGAAAAGAATTAATATCAAATTTAAATTATTTGATGAAAAGAGAGATCCGCTTTGACTAAACGTCAAAATATATAAACCAAAGACATCATCTTGCCCCCCACCCAGCCCAACCATGAAACTTAGAATGCCCTTAAGAGTGACAGAACATTTAGTGAAGTATTTGCAAACTTACAAAAAGGAGCGTGCAATGATCATCAAAAGTAAGCGCAGATCCAGTAACATAAAGCAAACCACACACCAGCCTGTGAGTCATCTCACATCACAGCTCTCAGCATAGAGCCCCAGGCATCATCTTTTCTACAGGAGCCAAGGCTTCCAACCAAATTTGGAATTACAGCCTAACACTGGGACAAACTTTCAAATCTGGAATGTTCCAGAAAATCAAGGAGAGACAACTACTTTAATATAGAAGCTGTGATTAAATAAATAATAAAGTATTTATTAAGTGTTCTAATCTGGATTGGCTGATAGAAATATGAATGCTGGAAAAAAGAGACAGAAGTGGTAAATTTGACCACTTTAGGTGAAACTGATGGAATGCAAATAAGTTGTCAGGACTCTCTAAAAATCTATCTTTAGGTCGAAGCAAAAGGATGCAAACTCTCCAGTTGTAAAATAAAGTTGATATGTACATATGTCCTTCATGGGTCATTTAGTGCTCAAGCTACACACACTCCTATTTATGTAGGTGGCTCCTTAAAGTATGACAGGAGTATGCCAGGTGCAAATATTTACATTTTTGTAGCCTGCTGGGCAGGATGCGTAACAAAGTCATAGTTGCGCTCTCTCTCTTGTCCCTTGTTCCATAGAGACTCAATAACAAAAGCCACACATATTTATAGATGGTAGCAAACAAAAGAAGTTTAGATGTGTGTTATTATAAATAGTGTTTAAATAATAAAACATTTTATTATAAATATTGGTGTTTGATATTGAGAAATATTAATGGTGTTTACTGTGGACATTTTTGGTAAATATTCTGTGTACTGAAATTCTAACATTAATAGGATGTGTGTTCTATGTCAGACAATGTGCTAACATATCACATATATTATCTCATTTAATCATCACAACAATCTTATTGTTTGGACACTCTCGTTAATTCCCTATGGAGGCAACATGGTTTAGTAGTTAAAGACATGGGGTTTGGGTTCAGAAACTTCTTGATTTAAATTTGGACTCTGCCATTTTCTAGCTCTTTCATCTTGGGAAAGATGATCAGTTTTTTCTAAGTCTCAATTTCCTCATAGTAAAATGAAGTTTAACAATAAGATCTATTTCCACAGGGTTGTCGTGAGTTTTAAGTAAAATTATGTATGTAAAGTTCTTACCACAATACCTGGCAGAATAAATACTCAATGTTAGATATTATTATCATCATAATCATTACATTAAATATATTGTCCAAGATAATATGTGGGGGATGTTTGTTTTATACGCATATTGATCCTGACTCTGTGCAGAATACATTATGTGTATTGCATATGTATAAAAGAAGTATACAAGGAAGTGATGATCCTGGTTCACATCACATATCCAGTTAAAACAACTTCCCAGTCCGATTCCTTGAGAGGCCTCAGTGAAACAGCTCTGGGTCTTTCTAATCAATCTCCCATTACCTATGGGTGCTCCAATAAGTTTTTGTTTCTTATAAACAAACTCTTTACTACTTAGAAAACCTGAAGGGCCCCCATTCAGTAAACATGGGGCTCCTAAGTGGGGCCCAGGTCCACTAGAGTGTAGGAAGAATATATTAGAATGATACATGTGTTTATTTTTATCTAGCCTTTTTTATGTTTGTGTATGTTTTATAATGGCATAATAGTACAGTGGTATATGTACATTATTTTAAATAAATCAATCAATTAATAAGCATATGCCTGGTGCATGTATGCAAAGATATTGTCACAGGTAGGGTTGCATTTACTAAAGTTTGGAGACCACTGAACTAGAAAATAAATAAAACTTCCTTGCATTTGAGGTCCTTTATATTTAGTTCTCGGCCTATTTTTCCAAGTGTATCACCTATCATTTTTATTAATCTTTTATTATAAAACTTTCAAACATTATACAAAAGTAGATACAATCATATAATGAATCAATGTCCTTGTCACATGAACTCATGTCCAATCTTACTTTCTCTATTTCTACGCATCTCCTTCCACACTGTATGTAGAAGCAAATCTCAGACATCATAGCATTTAATCCATGAATATTTCAGTAAGAACTTCCTATAGATAAAATCTTTTAAACATAATCACAATGCCATTTTCACACTTAAAAAAATAATATCCTAATATTATCATGTAAATGTTACAGAAATAAATGACAAAGAAAGTGAAAATTCCTATAAACTCAACCCCCAAAAACAGTCATTGTCAACAATTTAGGGCATCTTCTTTCAACCTTTTCTATATATATATACTAATGTTGTTATTATTGTGTTTATGCGTTGAACTTTTGACTCAGAGAGTTGGTCTGACCACATTTGCCCTTCTGCCTGAGTCTCAGTTCCACCATATTTCATGTAAGTGGATTGGCCAGAAGAGAGATGATTGATGTGGAAAGAAAGTGCTCAGATGAACAACCACCACAGCATTAGGCTTATAGTAAAATCCAACAACTGATGCAATTGTGTCGGACATTAAAATTAATACAGACCCCTAGGCTCAGCTGGAATGAGTCTAATCACAAAAGAAATTATTTTCCAGAAAAGAAAGACTGACAATAAATATTGAAATGACCAGCTGCAGCAACGCTACAATGGATCAATTCCTTCTGCTATGAATTTTCGTCCCTCATTATGACTTGTCTTAGGAAAGACAATCTTCGTTGGTTTATGTTCCTCTTTCATACATTTCTAAATGCCAGTTATTAATTCTCTGACTGATACTTCCAAGCCTCTCAGGATGTCACTCTAATTTATTCCTCCTGGATCACTCTTGATTTGGCAGTGGGAGAAGTTTGCTCTCTGATTATCACCACTCATAATTGTCTTAACTGCTTTTGAAATTGAAAGAAAAACCAAATCAGCTAAGTTTGGGTGATTCTTTATCTCTTCCAAACATTTAGAAATCTTCATATAGGGATCACAAGACATGGATATTACATTCTCTATAACCTGATTTTGTCTCTGCATTGAAAGTGGTGGATTTGGGGTGGCAGGGGGGTGTGTTTAGGTGTATAAAGGTTTGGGTGTATAGAGATGTGGTGGGGGGGGGAGGGGATGTTTGATTAGATAGGCCTGTGTGTCTGTATGTAAGACCAGTTTTCAGTTTGGCTCTATGGATTTCAGTGCTAGTTTCCCTTGGGGCAGTCCAAAAACTATAATAAAACTTTCACTATATAACATCCCAAATCTTCCTTTAAAGTCAGATTGCAGAAATGGCTTCTCAGCTTTGAAAGATCAAAGAGTTGGAATCTTACCTCTTGAACTGAATTTTTATTCATAACAAGTTGAACATCACTAAGTTGGATACTTTTTAGTTATTCTGCCTATTCCCTGGCCTACCCCTCTCACTTTTTAATTTCAAAGGTTATACACAGGAAATCCATGGAAGAACAATCTAGGTCTTTATCAAATGTTTCTGCTGCACAAAATAACAGAATGAATTAAATCCTGCATTGCTGAAAGAAGTAGATAACCAATTATCCCAAGTGGCTTATTTTACCATTCAACTTGAAATTAACCTGCTGCCTTCAGCTAAACTTTCACTAATCTTTCCTCCATATTTATGATTGCATCTCAATTTTCTGTTACACATTAATTTCAAAGCATTGAGGGTTTTTTCATTCTACCTGTTAATTTTCATTTTCCGCTCTACAGTCCAGACCAAAATTCTGTGCCATTTGTGGCATCATCATTCATAGCTTTAGGCAGAATTAGTGTTGGCAGTGGATGTTTCTGAAATTCGGGAGCTGAACCTGCTTGGTAGCCTCCAACCAAGTAATATTTCTTTTGTTTTCATTTTGATTGATTCTCTTCGTACATCTTGTCCTTTCACTAAATGATCCATGGCTCCTTTCTGTCACCCACTCACAGAGGCAGGATGAGCCCATTCATTCCTTCAAATAGCTATTAACAACCTCCTAATCTGGGCAAACATTGTGCTAGATGCTGAAGGTGGGCTACAATGGTCAAGACGATTGACACGGTCCCTGCCAAAAGTGGAGTGTGCCTTCTAGAATGGGTAATCCGTTGTCATCCCCCAAGAAAGGAAGGGCTCAGAGTGAGTCAGCGTAACAGGCCATCTTCACTTTACAAGGTAGTGCAGGACTGTAAAGATGACCATGCAAGCCAAAAATGGTCTTAATAACCAATGAGAAAAAATTCCAATTGTTCCATGACCTATGAAGATTTTGTCAAAATGTTACTCTTACTGTCAGTTATAAATGTATAGGGACATGAAAAAATACAGTAAAACTGATATTTATTTAACACACAGTAATTTAAAACATTAGAAACTTTGAGAATTAAGTGGGCCTTTTTTGTAAAACCTTATAAAGAGAAGCTTGAACAGTGCTCACCTTCTTTTGTTCATCATATAACTTGCAATATGGAGTAAGCATCTTTTCTATGCTTTGGCAAATTGTCATACTCCTTTCTAAATTTGGATCAGCTTCTAACATTTTATCATTGGTGTGTTCAATGTTTTGAAGTGTCTCCAAGACTTCCTTTAATGTGAGTGGGGTTTTTTCCAGTGTCACTTCCTCTGGGACAGCTTCATCCTTTTCATCACAACCGCTTTTCTTATTGATGTCAATAAGTTCGCCTTCACTGCATCCCTCTGGCTGCATATCTACAGTCTCAAATGAGGGCAGTGTCAACATTCCCACAGTCAGCTACTTCTTCTATTACGCCATCTAAATTTGATTTTAATTTCACTTCCAGTGTTATCACTTTTTGTTTCTTTGCTGCACTTTCATCTTTGTGGACCAGTTCCCTCTTCCAATCATCCATTTTTCTAAAATGTTATGTAGCTTTGTCACTTAGAAAAAAAGGAGGCAGCACAACTATGTGCTTTGCTGTCTGTGCATGAACTGAATAGCAGATGCTCAGTGACCAATCGCCAGCAGACTTTGAAAGAAGTGCTGTGACTGGTCACTGATCATCATGCACATCTTTTATTTACGTAGCGATTTTTGGGTTGAAGAGCTAGTAGCAAAGTTTGTACTTTATGCAATTAATTCATGGTTAACATACCACGGTAACTGAAGTTTAAACCATGTTTTTGGGGGGACTGGTGTTTAGCTAAACCCTGGTAACTGGAATTCATGCATATCAGACCCATGCAGAATGAGGACTACCTGTATGCAGACGGTTAAAAGGTTTGAAGCTAGTGGTGAAAATGGCTGAATGGGTAGCATTCAGCACTGTCCGATAGAATTTTCTGCAATAATGGAAGTTTTCTAAATCTGTGATGCACAATATGGGAGCAAATAGCCATAGATGGCAATTAAGTACTTTTAATGTGGCAACTGAATTTTTACCTTTTTATAATTTAATTAATTTAAATTTAAACACCCACCTGTGTCTAGGAGCTACTATATTGCATAGTGCAGATCTAGTAGACAAACAGACAAAGAGTCAAAAATAAACAGAATAATGACAGATTGCAGTAAATTCTAAGAGGGAAATTGGCAGGCTGCTGAGGAAGAGACTATAGAGAAGTCAGGGCTTTGTCTAGATTTGAGAGGAAGGAGCTAATCTGATCAGGTAGTCCCCAGGACACCCATTTCACACAGGCCCAGCTCGAGACATTTAACTGGTATATGCAATGGAGACAGTGGCAGAGACTCTTCCTCATTAGACCATGAGTTCTGACTTATCCAAATTCTGTCCTCGGCCCTCGGTAAGTCTGAGGTCAAAAGACAACTGGGTACCCCCCGAACAATGCAAACACACACACACAGACTCAAACACGTTCACTTGTTCTTAGACTTCGGATGCCTTAGACCATGTCTGATTTGCATGGATAACTATTTCTTCCCAAAGACCTGAAAATCTGCTGTAGAATTTTGACTACACCTTAGTTTGTGAATGACTGACAAATGCCCTGGGGTATGGGAAGTGTTGTGGCAAATACTGACCTAACAGCCAGTATAAGCAATATGCTCCCTAAAATATGTCCTTCCCAACACAGTCTGATCCCACACCAGCCCTCAACCCAGAGCTGGAACTTTCGTCTGCTTTTCCCCACCTTTCCACCAGTTCTTGGGCCCAACATTCTTCTTGGTTGGGTTCCCAGCTGGCTCCCAAGTCCACTCAGATGTGACCCAATACGTTCTGCCTTCTAAAATATAGAGAGAGCAAAAGAAATAAAGGAAGATGTGAGCTGAGTTTCATGAAAGCCAATTTAAATTTAATCTCCACTATCCACTATTTCCTCCCTTTGTCTTCTTTCCACTCCTTCTATCCCCTGACACTCCCCCACCCCACCCTTCTATGTTAGTTTTCTATTGCTGTGTAACAAATTAACACAAACTTAGTGGCTTACAACAACACACGTTTATTATCTCCCAGTTTCTGGAGGTCAGCCCTCTCTAGGCACAGCCTAACTGGCCCTCTGCTCAGGGTCTCAAAAGGTTGCAATCAAGGTTTCAGCTGGGCTGTATTCTCATCTGAAGGCCTGGCTGGGGATGAATCTGCTTCCAAGTTCATTCAGATTGTTAGAATAATTCATTTTCTTGCAGCTATATGACTGGCTGTTAGTCCTGTTGTTTTGCTGGCTGGAGACCAGAGGCTGCCATCAGGTCATAGGGGCCTCCCACAGTTCCTTGCTGCAGGGGCATCTCCAAAGTAGCTGTTCACTTTATCAAGCCCACAAGGAGAATCTATGACTTCAGGGAGGGCCCAGTCCCTCTTTTATGGGACCCTGTTTTATCACCTGATTACGTCAGGCCCACCCAGGATAATCTCCCTTTTGAGTCACTCAAAATTAATTGATTTGGGACCTTAAGTACATCTCCAAAGTTATTTCACTGTTGCCATGTGCTATTGGTTAGAAGCATGTCACAGGTCCTCCCCATGGTCAAGGAGAGAGGGCTGTAGAGGTCATGAACAGCAGGGACAGGACTCATGGTGACCACCTTAGGGTCTGGCTGCCATGCCCTCTAAGGCTCTTCCCTCAGCTACAAACTCGACAGATCACATCTTCCCCTAGACAGAAGAAATAATACGGACACTTAAAATACAAACTTGAAAGGCTTTCAGGACCCGCTGTCCTGACACGAGTCATCAAAGGCCACATGGATGGCCTTCAGCCTTCTCTGCCCTGGCCCAGGCCCATTCTCTGGATATATTTCTGTGTTAATATGCCAAGTTGCTCTGGGGCTGGAAACTCCAATAATTATGATGTACTGACCTGTGCAGGTCAGGATTTTATTAATGCTAAGTCCATAGGTAAGCTTTCTGTGGCGAGATGACTTTTTTCATTGCACTCATTTTAGAGTCAAGTTATGACTTCGACATCAGGTGAGATTGAATAATTCAACTGGCAGGTGAATTATTAAAGATGCTAAACTTTAACCAGGGTAACCGTGCCTTTCTCAAGTATTTATGGGAAGGGGGATGAGCTGGCTCAGGTTGCCTGCTCCTAAGTTATTCACCTGGAAGTGGAGCCTACACATTCAAGTTCAGCTGCCCACTGTGCCAACTTGGA